CGTTTTTTAGGCGAAAATGGCGAACATGACGTCACTAAAACGTCAATTTCTCAAAAAATTTCCGACGGATTTCGCTCAAATTTTTTCAGGGAACGTGTCAAATTGATGTAAGAAAAGGTACTGAAAGTTTGGCGGCGCTGCGCGCCGCCGTTTTTGAGATATTGCAAAAATTCGCGAGGGGGGGTAAAATTTACCCCCCCCAGCCCCGCGCGGGTTAAAAAGGCAGATAGGCTTTTTCATCATCGCCATGACGTGCCTCAGGTGACGTCATCGCTTCTGTTTGACATCATCTGGGTCGATCGATCAAAACGACCTCAGCCTGGCACGCAGTGGGGAGCGGCCGGCTCTAATTGGGCGGGAGGTCGTCGCTTGAAGGAACGCCTACAGTGTTACATCGTGTCACCACACCGGGGGACAGCTTTGGAACGAGCTGTCGGAAAGTGGCCTCCCAACGTGATAGCTGATTCCGACAGACAGCTACCCTCCACAAAGTTGGCGCTTCCTGCCATTACATTTCAGGTGACACAAGAATAGAACGGCAATTGTTCAATGTTCATTCATTACGATTCCCTCATCCATCTTGAAAACGGATCTAGCAAAAGAGTAAAATACATCTGTAATCTGTATATCGGACAGCTCTTGGAACATCTGGCATGGCCAATGGCCATGTCGCTTCAGAGACGTTATGGCGATGCTGTTTTGCATTGGGCTGTGTATGAGCCGGCTGCAGCCACCACTCACAGCGAAAGAAGTCGCAATGCAGTATGCACAGTGCACACTGTGCACTGTGCACTAGCCTGTAGTTTGCATACTCGAGTGTTATTTTTAGTCGCATGCCCATTCTCGTCTCCAGCGATGATGTTTTGCGGTCTTACGCGGGTGTCAGACTTCACCGTGACCACCAACCAAGTTGCCAGGCCGTCGTTGCTAAAGCCGGGTGGTCCAGGTCGCCAAGGTGGGCTGGAGGTGAACACCCCCGTTAACGCACGTACGCACACACACATAAATAGTGCTGCGTGGGGGGCACTGGGCAGACTGGGCCAGTAGCCAGGAGTTACGACTTGTGTGCACGCACTTCCGGTGTCGTATAGCTCCTCACTCTCTCTCCCTTGGATTTTCTCTCCTCTCTCCTTCCTCCCTGAATTTATCCACGTATGTATGCAAACGGCGACGGTAAAACTGCCGTCCCGACCCGGAAATTAAACAGAAATGTAAATTTATGGGCATCGATACAGGAGCAATTGCGTTTAAATTGGGCCATAGATACATCGTGGAAAGCCATTCTGCCCGAATTCTAGTGGGCGGGAAGAGGAGCATGTTTGTCAAGTAATTCGACATTCTTAATTGATCGTGCACGCAGCAGCCCAGGCCAGCCCCTTGCTGCCCATTCCTCAAAGAACCCTCTCTTCTCTCCTTCTCTATTTCTCTCGTCTCTGTCTCTCTCTCTCTCTCTCTCTCTCTCTCTCTCTCTCTCTCTCTCTCTCGCTCTCTCTCTCTCTCTCTCTCTCTCTCTCTCTCTCTCTCTCTCTCTCTCTCTCTCTCTCTCTCTCCAGACTTTCCTTCCCCTCTGGACTCGCGGACTCGCGGCCACTGCCCCTCCGAAGACCCTCCGTGAATCGATGACGAATATCGACCGGCGACCGGCCACCGCGACACCGACTTCCGGCTCCACTGAGGCCGGCTGGACCGAGACGGAGACGTTCCGGCTGAAAAACAACGACGAAGCAAGGCCTCGTCTAACATGTTAACTGGGGGGGCCAAACCCCCGCAGTCATCGGCCTGGCCCCCCCAGTCAGGGCAAAAAGTCACTACTGGGGGGGCCGGCAATAGCCAAAAGGCAAACGAATTTTTAGGTCGAGGCGTCAGTGCACATAAAAGCAAATGTGTAAACGAAACATGGATGCAATGTGAGCACATTGATACCTAGCCGATTACTTAGGCCTGTTATCAAGTGTTTATTTTGTTTACCTGACCTTAACCATTTTTTTTTTTTTTGCTCAGCAATACGTTACATTTCGTCTTTTCAGGCGCCCAACTCCGTGTCTCGGATATTCTTTTTTATAAATTTAGTCCGAACCTTTTGAATGGAAGGATTCACAAGGACAGAGCCCCCGCTAAGCAGATCTTGTTGCGTTGGCCCTGCCCTCTACCCTCCGATCGCGCAATTCCTGATCTATGGCAGAATTTAGAGCCCAAAGTTTTACTATGCACATAGCCGCGCACGGCCGGTCCCCTCACTGACTTCGACTGGTTACGGCCTGCCACCAACCGTAACCATACTCGCCAAGAGGCTCATAAACTTCGAGCGACTCTGTCGCGCTTCGAACCCGGACTGTTATAACCGGGACGCATGCCCTCACCACGCGGAGTCCAACGCTCTACCGACAAAAAATTCTCCTTTACGTATCAATCTGTTGTTTCTGTCCTCGGGGCGTCAATCTCTTGTTTTTGCCTATCGTCGTCCTCACTATGCGGCGTCCAGCTTCTGGCTGGACGGTCACCGGTGTGCGGCTAGAGTAGCTCCTAGTCGTAATGAAGCAGGATCCCGTGGTGGTCGTACGTAGGCGCAGATTGGTGGTCTGTCGCTGGATTATCTAAAGAAGTCGGTGTGGAGTCCCGGTGGGCAAATGCCAGCCAACTACCAGCCTGTAGGGTCCCAACGGGCCTCAAATTGCACTACTACACGGGGAAATCTTCATTTTTTGTTTAATTTATAGCCTCTGACAACCTTAAGGTTGTGTCGGAGATCCACGGCGATTACGACTTACGGAGAATCCACCTGAGAAGCCATCAGTCTCCAAGTTGATACGTACGCATTACACTCGTCTGAGGGGGCCCTAGTGGGAAAATACTGTCTCCACTCAGCTTGATCATTAAAGCCTGGTATGGATCATATAAAGCCAGTGTGGGCTACCATAAAGGCCGGCGTGGGTCCAGAAGCTGGTGTTAGCCCTCAGAACTCGGCAGAGCTCAGAGTCAAGCGCTCAGTCTATGCGTGTGGGCCCCCGACATAAGGCTCGGCATGTAAATTCCTTAGACAAGGCACTGCCACTCAAAAACGCTCAACACCATGGGTCGGATGCCCCATTATTTTTTCCTTTAGTTAAAAAAAAAAATCATGGTGTCAGGGCTGTGATGAAAAACAAGTGGTCTAAATCCGGTGAGAAAACAGGATTTGGGGGTACCCTAGGTTTGGCTCCTTCAGGCTCTGGCCCCCCTAGTGAAAATTCCTTAGACGAGGCCCTGCGACGAAGTGAATGTTGAAATGCATGCATTTCGATGCTGTAAAATGTTTACCAATCCTTTTTCAAGGCAACCACTGCGCAAGGATCGTGTTGGGATATTTTCCAATGTAGATACTTTTTATGGGCAATGGGCATAGAAAATGTTGTTAACCGGATCCATTTTGGATCTATTCGCGTATTTTTTGTCACTGCTGTTTATTCGTGTTTCGCTGAGTTCTGTAGCATCCCGTTCAACGTTGACAATTGACATTGCGGTACAGTCTACCTTCAGGCGTTTATATTCCACGAAGCCCTCTTTGTTTTCTACGTTCCCGAGTCCCCATGCCATAGTTAATTTTTCATGTATTTCTTGTTTAGACTTGAAAAATCGAAATTTTGATGCGAACTTTGTTTCGTAAAAGGTGCTTATATTAAGTTTAGCCTCTTCTTCTTTAGTGCTAATACTAAAAGGTGCTACCACATGTGCTAATACTAAGTCTGTCAGTGAGTCAACGAAAGGCGTGGCCGATACGATCGACTAGAATTTAGGCTACGGCACAGCATCGATGATTTTTTTATGAGATTCGTAGGAAAACTAAGCATCGGTCGTCCGGTTGCAATGCCATTGCTCAGCCTTGACAAAACAGGCTGCTTACAGGTCATTAAGGTAAGCGATTCACTCATTGCTTTGGCCCATATCAGTGCACTGAATGGCGTCTGTTGAGGAGACAACCAGACAGCCCATGGATGGTCTCGTTACGAACCCACAAATGATACCTCAGACTATTTCGTTCCACGGCCCCACGGTCCTAATCATCAGTGTCTTCCGGGGTCCGTAGCGCCCTGACGTAGGCCGTGGTCCAGCAGAGGGCGCTCTGGCCAGCGAAAGCACGGCCCGGTACCGTTATAGATGTCCCTCGAGTCGGAGGAGCCCCTCCTGGCTCAGCTTTAGGTCACGGCAGAGCACACCACACCAATTTGCGCAGACCACATCAGTCATGCAGTCGTGATCAAGATTATCAAACATACCTATAGTCCCATTAAACTACTTATAGGATGATAGCATGAAAAATGACGCTACCACGCGAACCTCCAGATGCAGAAGAGTGTTAATCATAAACGATATCGTCTTGTTTTATCCGTTTTTTACAAGAAGATGCATGAAGAGTGTAGCTGTTCTGTTGCACGCATCGTACCTTTCGTCGATCCATGTCCACAAAAAAAATTCACGGGCGCTTTTTACGCCCCTCCTCAGGGTCCTTTTTAACTTACATTTTGGGCAGGATGACGATAAATGATGACGCAAAAGTTTCGTCAAGAATAATCAAAAAAATATGTCAGTCATTCAGTTACCGTGACCTGAATCTGGTCTTGTCAGATCATCAGGTATCATGAGACAAAATGTACCTATGAAAGGAACAGTTTTATTTCGGATGACGTCAGATTATACTTATACACTGCTCTGCAAGATGCAAAATGAACGAAAAATACTGACGCTTATTTCTTCTTCATTGGGACACTAAGCCTCATATTGCATCATCAAGTTCTCTTTCATCACGAAACGAAAAAAAGTAGACATTATTTTCAGCTCACCTCAGATATCTTTCCTAGTCCTACCATTCCTGCGTTCCCCACCGACGCCCCGGTTCGAGGACCTCTGCCCCGAGCGGGGCACGGTCCGAGTTGAGGACCTCTGGAGCTCGGGATCGATGTGGCGGTGCCGGTGCGCCGGTGGCGGCGCCCGCCGTCGGTACAGACGAACTGACGAACCGACGGAGCCGACGGAGCCGACGGAGCGGCGGCGAGACGCGAGAGAGGTCGCGGCGCGGCGCGGAGGAGCTGAAGTCTAGTGGAGGCGGGTGGGGTTGAATCGTCTGTGGAGCTGATGTGTCTGGGTGGCAGCCACGAGACATGACGTGAATGGGTGTCTAAACGGCTTTCTTTGACCGCCAGTGTAGCCGAAAAGCCGACTCAGTGAACGGGTGAAGAGACCGACCAAACCAAGAGGCTCTCGGCAGAAGCCGTGGAGAAGAGTGGAGTTTGCGAACATGCCGCCGTGTTCTCCTCCGAGGTAGCAACTCCCTGAATTCACCAGACTGTATTTCCCGTGGATAAGCAAGAGGAGGTCATTGCTGGAGAACGGCACGTGAAAGGATCATCTACAGGAGGATAAAGACAACAGTAACAGCGGTCAGCAACTGACGGGCCGGCCAGGTCAGTAATGGGTGCCATATGGGTCAGAGACTGGTCAATGTGTTGGATAGGGACTGAAATGTGGGATAGGTGGGTGGTCATTGTCATTGGAATGTGTTTGACGGGGCTATGTGAGGATGGGTTAGATAGACTGGCGAATCTGTTAATTCATGTGTGTGTGAGGAGATTGACAATGAACTAATGGAACGACAGGGATGGGATTATTAGCGCTTAGAGAGAGAGAGAGAGAGAGAGAGAGAGAGAGAGAGAGAGAGAGAGAGAGAGAGAGAGAGAGAGAGAGAGAGAGAGAGAGAGAGAAAGAGAGAGAGAGAGAGAGAGAGAGAGAGAGAGAGAGAGAATGAGAGAGGGAGGCTTGCTGAATGCGTCCTCATTGACATAAATGCATCGTTGGGGCCGATTAGTAAAAACTGCTCCTTCCGAACTCTAATTCGGAATGAGCCTTCCGACTTACACATTTAGATGCTTATGTTATCAAATAATTGGATGGATTCGGATGCATTGATGGTAAGCGTAATTTTGACACAAGATGGGCACAATTACAATGCTTTTAATGGGCGATAGTTACACTCAGTAGAATATATAGCTCATGGCTCACGGCAGTGCGCTGAGTGTTGACTGTTGTGCTGCAGGTCTTGCTATGACCACTGGGTGCGCAGTGGGTCGGACCCCCGTCCGTTATGACTCACCTTTGCCTGCTGAGTCGGCGCCATAGCCCCCGTTATATGTGGCCATTCCACGTGAGTCAATAACACAGCGAAGCAAGCCGAGGGCGCGACAGTGGAAAGGTCGATCTTATTATACAAACAGTGCAGCGAACCGACCGTCTGAAAACTAAGACTGTTGCCCGCTTTCTCGAAGAAAGAAACGCCTCAGAGTTGGCAGGAAGCAGGCCGGATAGGAGGCTCGAATCGGTCCGAGTGGGGATTTGTACGGGTGACAAATGCTACTGAAATGTTTGAAATTATTGCCAAATGATGCAAACTGCAAATTGGGTGAATGCAGACGATGCTAAAAACAGGGCCCAATCTTACCAATGCCGTGAATGCGCATTTCACGGCATTTGGTAACATTCAGAACTATTCCGCATTCACTTATTCATTCTTTCAGACAACATTCATAATCATTCACGCTATCAAAATCATTGGACAAGATTAGCTGGATGTAAATAAAAAAGATATCATTGATATCAGTGCCGTAAACTCCGGCCAGTGCTGCCAAATCCTATTCACGGCATTGGTAAGATTGGGCCCAGGATTCCGTGACCTCTCCTGAAGGTGAAACACACAATAAACAAAGCAATTCAAACACTGCATATTTCCTAGCTCCAACGCAAAGTTGAGCCTACAGTTCCACTGTAATAAACGCTAGGTCGTTTCCCCACTTAACAACGCTCAAGCTCTGCTAATATTGAACTTCCCAGCCTCGCTCGCTATTTGACTGAGACTGTGCTGAATAACCCATGCGATCCTTAACCTCCCTTCATAATTAAGCTCCCATATCGCCAACGCTCCTCAAAGGCCGGAATTCAGCCCTACAATGGCGTCCGAGAACTCTCATCACCCAGTGTCAAAGGCTCGATTGAGACCATCTCTGGCACCATCAGAGTCCTGTGTGAGTATCTGCTGAACTGCTGGGCGGCACCATCAACCCGACAGTGCCAGCTGTGTCGATGTCATACTCCAGACGGTCTGATTGTTCAGGAAGTGAGGCCAGCTGTCGGACCTCTCCGACTAAGTTCAGCATCGATCAGATGATCCGCTCGGACAATTCGATTTGGGAGTTGAGGCTGGTCTCAGTGGGAGGCCGGCGTGCTCTGCATTTATAACAGGCACGTAAACGTCGAGCGTACAACTGTACAGCTGACGAGTTGCAGAGGCGTAAGACGTTTATTTATTTTTTAGATGCTTGGAATGCTTTAGTATGCTTTATCTATTCGTGGCATTTTTGGTATGTGTAGGTACCTATGCCTGTAGCCAGTCGCAACTTGCTGGTCGATCAAGCGGTATCTGAATGCATATTAGGTATGGCAGTCTACCAACTTGAGATAAATCAGGATGATGCAAAACTTCTGTAACGAAACATCCATATTGCGTGGGTCGCATCTTGCCGTGAAGGCCGATCCCATCTGAAATCTAGCACTTATTTCTGCAATTTACACGTTCCGTAGAAAGCTCAACCTCAGCCGAGTGCTGGTAGACCGCCGTGCTAACTCTGCCACAGTCTCTCGTCACGGCACATCACTCAGCACTCTGGTGACATTTTTCCGGCCTAACTCGGCGACACGGTGACATTTTCCGGGCTACCTCTCGACCCCGGCTGACTGGTGGGCCGTAAAGCACGACTATCAGTGCCTGCTGTCTCGGCAACGAGCCTGTCAGAGATGCCGGCTCCTGATGTAGCGCCTTGTAACCTGATGAGAGGTTAAAAGGTAAATAAGTAGCATCAGTACTGCTTTGAATACATTTCTCACTCGTTGCTTTAGACCCCAGTGCTTGTGTTTTAATTTGACATGTATCCGAATTCTGTCTTTAGAAGCATCACTCGACATTTAGGAATGCTTCCAAATATACACCTAGCATTTGTGGAAATATCCATAATTATATTTCATCCATCTATCCATCCATTCATCATTGCCCATACACATTCCGGAGAGCCAATCCCAAAAGCCTCTACCAAGCGGTGCCAAATCCATCTCGCCTGTGTACGCTCTCGGCGGAGATTACTGCAAACCTCGGCGGCCACTAATGACACCGATCGGTAATTAACTAATTAGCCACTCGGCCGGATCTCGTCAGTGCCCTCGGCCGTTCGGCAGCTGGGTGCACCGCCAGTCGCTCGCCATCAGCGCGGCTTGGCCACGGCTGGTGCCGACTGGCCGCAGAGATCCTACTAATGGATTGGTCGCTGCAGGGAGGAGCGATCCGTGCGGGCGGAGCTAGATGGATTGGGGAGAGGGTGCTGGATCGAGTCAGATGCTGGAGGTCAGGTCGGCGGTTTGGGTCAGGTCAACAACTGCAGCTGCTGGTCAAGCTCAGTTGGATGATGTCATGTCAGCTGGTAGATAATCTCCACTGGTGGATTATAACAGCAGTTTGGCCATATCCGATGTCGGGGTTCCTTTCATCTGCTCAGTAATGTCAGCTGATGCACCAATGTCTCGTCAGCTGTTGCGTTATGTCAGCTGACTAGTAATATCAGCTCAATAATTCAGCTGCTGAGCCATGTCAGCTGCTTGGCCACGTCAGCTTTGAAGTTGGCAACTCTTTGCACGCTTCAGGAGCTGCTGTCCTCTGAGCATTATTGCTGCTCTGCTGCCTTTTTCGTGCCGGTCTGGTAAGTTCTGAGAGCGGCAGCGGCCGTCCCAAATAGGGGGAACGACAGGTCGCCATTATCGAGCGAGCGGTCAATCTGTCCAATAATGACGTCATATTGCCCTGGGGTTCGCGATAAATTAGGCTCGGGCGATGTGGCTGCCGGTACGTAATTCCCAGTACATAACCAGAGGTTATTGCTGAGCCGGTCATCGGGGTAATCGACGTGATAGGGTCGGGGAAATAGCACAATAAATTCGGCATACTCTCACGCATGTTTCAGATGTCAAAAGAATGATTTATCGCCCCTTAAAATAGCTCTGAAGGCTGGATTTTCGATAAGTTAAGCATCGAGCAAATCCTGCAGTGCCATGTAAGACAGGCTGAGTTTGGTAGGCGTCGTTCTTTGTAAGGCTGATAGACGTTGAACGAGAAGCTACAAGTTTCCACTGTTGGAGGCACACGTCCCTCCAACATTACCTATAGGTCGCCTTTGTAGAGTCCCCAGCGCAGGAATGTTCATCGTTTGAACAAAGGCTTAACAACAGTCCTAAAAGCCAGCTGTTGAAATCAATACGCTCTATAACACAGGTCTCATGGTTGCACGATAACACTTCGCTGCATTATTTCAATGTAACTTAACACCTCTCATCCACCTTCTTCCATCCGGGCTTTGCCACCTTTCTGACTAAAATACAAACGGTGCATTGTTTCATTTCATAACTTCATTCTAAATTTAGAACAACACGGAACATTGTGCAGAACCTCTGGATCCAAATATGTCGACTGTAATCCTCCCGACCTCTGCAGAAACATCCAAAGGAGCTGGATCTCACCACGTAAGGCAATAAGGACCATTACCCCGGCGGTAAGATTCACGCCCGGCTTTTACGCTGATGACGGCCAAAGGTCAGCTCTGGAAGGGTGAACAGCAAACACCGCTTCGGCTGAGGCCCGTATTTGGAGGTCGGCGCGCCCTGGCTCGGTGTTTGTCGCCATAAATGTCACCGGCTTTTGTCGTTGGCCTTTTCGCCGCAGGAGACAGAAGATTAACTGGCATATGGTGGCTGCTCCACTGTGGTGTCTCAATGAGGCACAATGCGACCTGGTTCTAAAATGAAGCGGGAGATTCGCAACGTGAATATACATATACGGGTGGAAGAAGATCCAAGACAATTTGTAAACTAAAGGAGATTCCATAAGTGTTCAAATACCTACTTATTTAGGCTAGTTTAATGTTAAGAAAAGCAAGAGGAGAGATAGGTGTCTCATTGAAGGGCGATAGTAGGACTTTATAAAGAGGAGACCTGAGGGGAAAGACCTGAGAAATGGAAGATACAGAGCCGAAAGAAACTGAGAGCGAGAGTGAAAGTGTATAAGATAGATAGATAGATAGATAGATAATAGATAATAGATAGATAGATAATAGATAGATAGAGAGATAGATAGATAGATAGATAGATAGATAGAGAGAGAGAGAGAGAGAGAGAGAGAGAGAGAGAGAGAGAGAGAGAGAGAGAGAGAGAGAGACCTCGCACCTCGCCCCGCGCCGCCCCGGAGATCGTGAATAGTGTCGTGCGGCACAGCATGTTCCAGGCGTTTTTACTAGCGACATCTATGGGCAATATTGTAACCTTTAGTTCGACCAGCATACTCACTGCAAGGCCATTGAACAATGGACATAACCTATCAATGCTCGGTGTTCCTAGTTCTGAGTCCTAACAATGGGCAAACAATCGTATTTTTTGTGGCCGAACTTTCTAATAAATCAAAATAACTACTAACTAGCTCCTGTCACGGTACTTATCCCAGCCTCGCTATCGCAAGGGCTAAACCGCCCGCATCCCGGCTCTTATTACCTTGTCCGGACTACCGGTCCCCCCACAGTCAACACAGGCAACCGGTGATAAGGGAAAGTTCTTAATTGGACTACATCCTCTCGGGGGTTAAAGTTTTGAGTGGCAGGAGATGTCCCATCGGGACGATCTCTGCTACTGCGACACACCGTCGGTGGTGCTGTCAGTAACCACAGAGCCCCTATTCAATGCTCTCGTCCCATAGCATTACTTTGCAAGCAATTTGAATTTTCCAGCAAAACGGAATCCCGGTACGCGATTTTGGTGAAGGGGTGATGAAGCATATATTCCACTTGAGCCGGTTATTAATGAGCAATCACAAGGCATCCATTCATCATAACTAACGATCGGCTTAAGTGGGCTGCGACCGGATTAAATCGGCAAACTGTAGGACGCTGTGTTGTGATGCGGGTCTCTCTCTCTCTCTCTCTTTCTCTCTATCTATCCCTCTCTCTCTCTCTCTCGACTCTCTCTCTCTCTCTCTCTCTCTCTCTCTCTCTCTCTCTCTGTCATCCTTCCCTCTCTCTCTCTCTCTCTCTCTCTCTCTCTCTCTCTCTCTCTCTCTCTCCCCTTCTCTGTCTTTCTCTCATCTTCCCCCTCCCCCACCTACCGTCCCTCGCCTCTCTCTATCTCTCCCTCTCTGACAAGACACCCCTCTCCCCGTCTTCTGACAGGGCCGGCCGGACAGCAGCCATGCGCGGTGTCCAGGGAGCAGCCCTCCGCCGCCAGCGCAGCCGGGAAGCGGCACAGAGGCGCGGCACCTCTGGATCGCTGGTGGACCCCGGAGAAACCCGTACCATCACTGAGCGCATCACCGCGCCGGGAAGTATTCTATTCGGCATCACCTTGTTCCACATCGGCCTGGTGTTTCTTATCATCGGCTTCCTGATTATCATCACCGCTATGATTCCCGGGAGTTATGTGGAATCCGGAGGATCGTCGGATATGATTGGCACGGGATCGTTTTTCGTCTGTTTCGGTGGCGCGCTGACGCTACTGAATAGAATCCTCACCAAGAGAGAGGAGGATTCTCTCGGGGAGTACGTCAGCTCACGGCTGGCTCGTTCGAAGAGCGGCGGGCGGCTCGTGCGGGACGCCGAGTCCGGTCTGACGCCGCAGATTCCGCGACGCGCCGCCAACGCAGACGGCCGCAAAACGTCGCTGGCAGTGCCTCTGATCGCCAGCCGCCGGAGTTCGCAGCTCACCCCGACTCACAGCTTCCACAGCTCTAACTCCGGAGCCACGCCCAACGATGTGCACGTGGTGGTGAGCGAGGGTGAGAAGACGGCCCGCAATGGCAAGGGCACGGGAAAATTGGGCAACAATGGCAGCACTGTCAGCACCGTGTCCGCGTCTCAAGTATAGGTGGCGCTGCGGTCGGCGGCAAGTGGCGCTGGTGTTTCATGTTAGACTGTTGTAGAGGACGCTGGCGACTGCTGCAGCTGCCAGCTGAGAGAAACCGAGGTGCTGGTTTACCTCGTGTGTAACATTTTGCAATGACTATGTCACTTGACCATTGCAGTGGAGTAGAATCAAGTTTCTTTACCAGCTTCATCTAGAAGAGAAATAGCTGTTAAGTGTTTAGCATAGCCCAGAGCTTAGCCGCAGATAAGCAAACGAACAATTATGTTATGATTAGATGAAGTGATGTTTCAATGCAGGTATAAATTAGCATTAGTTGCTCTTATTTTGTATACAAAATAAAGCAGGTTTATACATAACGATAGCCTAAGTTCAATATGCCAATTGTCTTTCGTCTGTGCAAACCGAATCCGTCGCATAAAATGATCTCATTTTTTTACGCATGGCTACGTTTTCAGCCACCAGTGTGCATGCCGATTGCTGGATTGCGCAAATTTGATATTATTCCATCGCTGAGCTTCGAGAAACACTGGTTTCGAATTTAGCTTATAAGCCACGCCAGCACTCCGTGAAGCGAGGCATCTAGATGTGACGCACAGGATGCCATGAGATCGCTGTGTGCCCTTCTATGCTATTTAAAGGTAGTGTGCCACCTTTGAAAGATTTCCCATTTTATTTTTCCTAGGATAAGAAGCTTCTGTTTTTACCTAATATCGCAAAAAAAATCAAAAATGGGCCTGGAATAGTGCCTTTTTCGCCTAAAAGTTTATCGGTTTTTCGATATGTATAACAACTGTAGTGGGCTGACCTGCAAACAGGCGTCGGCAACAATCGCGAATGCGGCGCACATGTGACAAAAAGCAAAGGTCATTATAGAGTTACGACGTACGGGAATGAGTTATCAGCTGTCTAATCGTAGACAACACAATGTCGAGCCTTAAACTGTAAGCCTGTATTGGTATTGTTTCTTTTATTTGGCTGTCGAACATTATTTTTGGTTTGAAATATGATTTTATGTAAAATAATTGATATGAAAAAGCCGTCTGTTAAGTTATGTCCCCATTTCACCACACGCAAGTGGCAGAAATGACAATGATCAGCTGACGCATTTTTCTTGGCCGAAGTCAGAGCGCGCGGCCCGACGCACCACCACCGCACCACAAAGTATGAGCAGAAGCCGCGCCCAAAGCCAGGGCCCCGGTAACGTGAGGTAGCCGAGTCGGGGCAGCGTGCGCTGACCCAAGCCGGGGCCGCAGCTTTGGGCGCGGTCTACCACATCCCCGCGGGCAGCCCCGGGCTATCACATGACACCGGGAGGACGCGCGGCCCCGGCTTGGGTCAGCGCACGCTGCCCCGACTCGGCTACCTCACGTTACCGGGGCCCTGGCTTTGGGCGCGGTCTACCGCACCACCTAACAGGCGTGTTCGAAACCGCAGGAGATGATGATGAACGGGTTTATCGAAACTTGATTGGATGAGCATATCGGTAATAGCGATTTCAGTGTGTGCATTTATTGTTCATAGTGGTGTGAAATGTGGTTGGGGTACGACCGACAACCCGTCGGGGCGAATTTCGCACTGGGGTACTCAAAATTTGAAGAATTTAAGACGTTTCCATGAGTTTTGAAGGTATAGATAAGTTCTAAAAATCCGGTTCTCCTTATCTGGGCCATTAACTCCATACGGTCCAGGAAAGCTGGCACACTACCTTTAAACCGGTACATAGTTTTACGTGCGCAGTCGGCTGCGTGCCGTCCGCCTTCATCTGATGTACGTACTCTGTGAGTCTCTGCACGTTTGCGTGGCAATAGTTTCGGGACGAGTCGTGTCGTTACCACATTGCGCTCAATAAGGTGGTAGGGCGACCGTTATTGTGTACTCTGCACATTCACAGCAATATTCCTACCGAGGGCAAGTGTTGCTGCCCATATTGCCTATTGCTCGCTTTTTTACCACGATCTAATTTGTTTACTATGTATTGCACCGTGTTGGCCACCAGCAAATGTTTCCTGCGCACAGCAGGTGATGACTTTCAGAGTTTCGATTTTTGCGACGATTTTTACCGTTTTCGAAGCGTGTTAGCTTGTATCGCTAGACTGATTTTCCAGTTTTTCTCTGCTTGCGTCTGGCACAGTTCAACTGTCGCAAGCTCTGTGACAGTGACACCTTTCGCGTTCTTGTTCTTACTGTGGCGTGCGAAAAACCGTCGCGCGTTACCCGTGTAAGCTAAGACGTACCACAATGTCGACAGCATTCCACTTTGTACTTTTTCACCGATCTCGCTTTTGCCAGCCTTTCCCAGCCCTTGATAACTCCTGTCGGTTCCTCGAGCAGAAGAGTTAGCCAGTTCCTAGTCCTACCAGTTTAAGGTTGATGACTGCGATTCTGACAGATTTAACGTCACAGTTTAAATCGCTGGGTGACCGCCTCCGCCGTTTTCGCCAATCTGCCTTGCAAACGATTTATCCCAGGGCCCTCCGAAATGCCCGTGCCCGGATTTGTACGCTGATCAGGGCCCAACGTCTCGCATCAGCCCCTAATGCTGGGTTGCTCAGTTGCTGGTACCCTCGTGTGTCGCTATACGCCGCTCGTTCTGTCTCAGTTACCGGCATTTGCTACTGATGAGCCCACGTCCATAACGAACCAATACAGAACACGATACGGCAGTGTGTGTTTGACCGGGGAAAATATTCTACGAGATATCGACTTATGCCAAGCCTGTGGCCTCTAGTAGGTAGTTAACTAGTTACGCAAACACGCGAGAAAGCAGTTCCTAAATCACCCTCCAAGTGCATCAAACAAATGTATTTAGCTTTCACAAGGCCATATTGTCTTGAAACACATCTCACTCACCTAATTAGAGACCAAATTAAGGCGGCTATGACGCTAACCGCGAGGCTTGAAGCCCAAGGCGTTCTGAAACACGGCCGTCACTTTGACAGGGGGACTTCAGACTGTCACTGTCAGCACTGTCACGCGGTTATGGGGCTGCAAGACTGTCACTGTCAGCACTGTAACGCAACTGTCATCCTCCGATGTGGCCAACAGAGTACAGACTGTCACTGTTACGCGACTATTACGCCCCGACGCAAACGCAATGTCCTGTGAGGTGTCCGAGCCTTTAGACAGGCATGGGGGAAGAAAAGCAGACGTGCGTTAGATGCGTGTCGTACTGGACTGACAAAACATACAGCGCAGAGTGCAGACTGGAGCTTGTTTGAGGTTGAGGCTAGGCAGTGGCGGTACGCTTTAAGCCACAGCTATCGGCTGCAAGTCATCGGCCGTTGACCTATGCGCTGCAATTCTCCAGGTGCATACGACGCTTCTGCCGTTAACCGTTCAATCAATTACTGTCAATAAGTCACGGTTTAACGCATCACGGCTCGAATTGTTACAGCTAAGCGCATTATGGCTCAATGCCTAAAGGCTCGGCGCAACAGGGTCTGACTCAGGTGAAGGAACAAACAGCGGGCTGCTTTCGATCACTGGCATGTCAGCTGTCCCGATCAGTTCACGATCCGGAGCGCAGTCGAACCAACTGAGTTGTCACAGTGGTTACTGTCCTACACCACCACACGTCACGTCACGGCTGGTAGCTCGCGGCACAGTCCATCATGGCGCGTTACACGGCGCGTCACGTCACATCACGATCCTCTCGGTCAGTCTGGGGCCAGCGCGTGCGTGCGTCACACCGACCCTCACAACTCCGCCCAACGTCTGATATCGCCTCAAGCGTTACTGGCACCGTCGGTACAGATAAAGATAGGCGAGCTCGCGAGGTGGTTGCCTACTCTCCGCGACTTTCTCATCGTTGAAGATACACCACCGTCCGTCCTTAAGCACGTGGCAGACATAGTGACCCACCATGGTGCTGGTACCCATGTGGGAAATGAAGGCGACCAGTTGGTACTTACCGGGGCCGTCTCGGTAGCCGTCCGCCGCTGCGGCAGGTGTTGGCTCATCATTCAGCTCGGCAGGGTGACTGAAGATCCAGTCGGCCGCCCGCTCCACGCTGTTGTTGGTCTCCTTCAGCGCGCGTTCAGCCTGAGCCGGGGTGAAGCCCATGCTGACAATGAGCGCTACTGAGTCGGGGTCGGCAGTGAAGGTTGAATCCCCGGCAGGGGCCGTGCCGGGGACGGTGAATGGCGCAGCAAAGTCTGCATCAGTCATATGCTCCATGATCCACGCCATGGCCGCCTCGACGCCCGAATTTTGCGTGGTGTACACGGCACGTTTGCACGCCTCCTCCGGGAAGCCCATCTCGGTGAGCTGGCTGATGACTGCTGCGTCGAGCTGGGGCGCGGCGGCGGCGGCGGCGCGGTCACCGGCCGGCTCCGGTAGCTCCTGCTCACCAGGCTGGAGACCCGAACCACGCAGTGAGCTGAGATCGAGCTCGTCCGGGACGGGGATAGACACGTCCAGCTTCTTGGGTAGCCAGTCATCCCCGACAGTGAAGCGCTGTAGCTGAACTAGTAGGAACTCGGGGAACGTGCCAAGGCGGGAGGTCTGTAGAGCGACCGTCTTGGCGTCCAGGGCTGTCGAGTAGAACTGCTCGACACGCCGTGGCTCCCTGAAAGCCTCTAGGAGTGCCTCAAACGGTACACGAGCGCGCACCACGGGACCGATGTCGTCGCCGGGCGCGGCAGCTGCCTTACGTGCCTCATACTCGTGCACTGCTTCCTTGTTCGTGGCTGCCTCCATAGGGATCTGCAGGGACAAAAAGTATTCAGTGCGGTCCGAATACTTCACCTTGTGGGATCCCGTGCACTCAATTCGCTCTTCCACTCGGAACTTGAACGCGTCTGTCGGATCATCGCGATGTCGACTGCTACGCGACACCATGTTGATGAGATGGAGAATAAACTCCTGCGCATCTTGCTGCCGCTTTCCCGAGAACTCCGGATGACCGCGTCCAACCACGTTCTTGAAAGTGAACGGCTCAATCCCTGGCTGGCCCTTGGCGGCCTCTGCTGGATCCTCCGGCTGTCGCGAGTACTTTCCCGATAACAAACCCTGTGCCAGTTTACACATCTGCGCGTCGAAATCGTCGGGCACACGCGCCGGCTCGAGTGAGTAAAACGTCGTCTCTGCACCCTGATAGTACCGTTTTACGAAGTCCGGCACGGTAAACATCACTTGCATTGCGCTGTTCAAGTAACAAGAGTTGCCGAGGTTTTTCAGTCCGGTGTAGCCTGGCCCAAAGAGCGGTTTGAGGTCCTGACCCTCCTCTTGAATGGTAGCCCATTCTCCAATCTTCTTGTTCATCTCAATCTCCAGTTCGACCATCGATTTGTCAGTCTTCTCCATAGCCTGAATGTTGATGCCAAAGTGGGCCAGATGTTTTCCGAGCAATGGATCCAGAACCATGTCGTCTTCATCGTATGAGAACACATCAGCCTTGCCATCGGCGCTGATCGTTCCGAGCTTCACCGCCAGTGGGTATCCAGTCAGCTTATAGTATTCGACAGCGTGGTTGTTGCCTCCGCTTCCATCGAAGAACTTTCGCCCGCAGAGGATGGCTCCATCGGTCAGGTTCAGCCACAGGTTGTCCGTTTTATCACACTGCGCGCACTGCCAGCCTCGGGGAGGCACTTTGACGCCGTTATCCAGCTGCTGCAGTGTCTCGGCGTGTTTTGAAACCATACGCACCTCTCCGTCCCACGTACCCGTCGCCTGAGCGAGCTCCTCCCGGCGACCTGCTGAATCAGCCGCTATTACTGCTGCCACGGCATTACGGGCCTGCGCCGGGAGCTCTTCACTGGACAGAGGTATCGTCTGCCATCCGGGAAGCACCACCAGTGTGTTATGCTCCTCATACTCCGCCGGACGCTCCTCGCCGCTGAACCCTCCCTCCACTCCGATCGCCAGGCGGGTGACTTTCTTTTCAGGTTCTTCAGCCGCGGTGGGGTCGACCGGCTGCACCTTCCGCTCCCTCCGCATGTGTAGGAACACACGTGATCCGGTCCTCTGGCTGAACTCCTCCACACGTTGGCGACCGACTCCGAGAAACGAGCGCAGGCACACGTACAGGCCCTCCGGCGACTCGGGTGTGTCAAACGAGTAGATACACTGGTCCTTGTACACCTTGTCGGTGGCCGTGGGGCAGCGGATCTCACTCAGATGAGCAGTGAGAGCCTCCATCGCTGCAGATGGTCTGGTGGATCCTGGGAATAGAGTGAGCTATCATTACTGAATGTGGGATGATACAAAACAATAAATATGTTTCTTGAAGAAAAAAAAACTGGGAACTTGGAGTCATTCAATGGAATACTTTTCTTTGAATTTGGCTTTCTTTTGAAAAATTAATCCAGAAATGGTCCGTTAAGGGTAAGAGCAGTTAAATTGTTCCTATCCCTGAGGATGAAAAGCCTGCTAGGTCTCAACCTAGACAGGGATAAGCACCCTAGACATGGAAATTTAAAAAAACAGCCTGAATTACCAGGAGTGGGATAGGCTTTCACTTCAGCTGTAGTCTGAGGGGTGTTCATGGGCACCGCACACTGCTGAGTGTGGTGTGTGCGGTGTGTGCAGCAGGCGTGGGGGTAGGGGATGGGTTAGGGTAGCCAGTTCTGACGTCACGACTGCGTGCGGTAGACGGTCCGCTGTAGCCAGTCCCGACCGGCCACAGCGGTCACTGTGTTCGGTGACAGAAGCTGGAAGGCTGACGTAGGGATGCAGTGGGCGGAGCTTGGAGGCTGTGTATGGTCCGACCGCACACAGGGCCCGTGAACAGCCCTCTGGTGAGGGGGATTAAGACCAGGATGGAGGAGCAGGAGTTCGCCAATAATTGAGATGGTAAGTTGCGTATTGGAGGGAAGTAAAAAAAAACTACCTATCCCCTTATCCATAGTCAAATGAGTAACCGCAGATACGGTTTCTGAGCAGTAATCGCCACACACTTTTAGAATGTGGATCGCTCATGATTGTTCAATACAATGGTTGAAGTAACATGCTGACAGCTGCCTAACTGCAGCCAGCTATGGTATCATTCAATCAAGCATATAAAAAACAATAACATTTCAAAGAAATAACAAATCCAAGCATGTTTTGATCAATATCATGAATATTTAACTTGTTTAGGGAATTTAATGAATTCGGTTTCGTTTCAGTTTGGAGTGCTCAGGCTGATGACAACTGGCAGTGACATGGTGCTCTCGATTTCACTGACTTTCTATCAGGCTTTCTGCTTACCCTAGATGTCAAGCACGCTTTCCAGAAACCGTTGACCAGGAGGACAGAGAAACTAAAGCGAAACTGTGTATGAAATTCACAAAATCCGGACGCCGGCTGCGTACCTTCTATTTCGCCTTGTCACCAAATCAAGCAAATAATAACAGAATTATTAGCATGAAGAAATGTCCCCCACACTATAGGCCTTGCACTAGGCAGTAAACGTCATGGTATCGAAATGAATGGAAGCACATCTAAGAGCGATGAAATCGGCGCAGCGCTTCCATATAATATTTTCCTTTATCCCTTCAGATTGTAGTAGTAGCACGCTCATGCATGCCGCATGGGGGAATGGTTTACAGCCAAAAAACTAGGCATTTCTTGATAAATATATTACACAAACCTGAAAACCAATCTGCATCAGCTGATGTGTTAACATGGTTACTGTCCCCGCACAAGAATACCCCCGATGGCAATGTATCCAGTGCCATTGTGATTTGTCCGTGTAAGGCCAGAGCACTGCCAGCAGGCAGCACCTATAGCCAACCGCACATCATTTTCTTCCGACACTCGACGACCTCAATGGGCAATGGCATCCTGTACCCTGCATCATTTGCAAATAGTGTACTTCCTGTATTCTGCACTCAAGCCACCCAATTCCCAATCAACCACACCCATTCCCGGCAGTAAAACACATATCAGACGGTCAGTCTGATATCAAACATCTCAAGTCTCAGGCACACCTTAGTCTTACACTTTTTTTAACATCGATCAAACCATGGTAGGGGCGACATCCCAATGAGGCCTTGGTTCCGAGTAGATATTCTCCTCAGCAGGTACCCTCACGATACTGACATTCACATTCTCAGGCTGTTTGGCCGCCGTCTCTTCGCTCCCTCCTTTGCCCTCCCGTTGAGCACAGCCACAGCGGAGACTGCCGGCACTAAAGCTTCTTCTGACATCCGCTCGGCGGCGCCTCAGTCGCCTCTCGGTACAGCGTCCTCGCGGTGCTGTGATGGCTCCATCCAGTGGCCAGCGCTGTGGCTCATTCGGCGGCCACTCGATACCCTCAGAGCCACCTAGCGGCGGAGTCACACACTCGTGGTACGCCATTTGACCACCACAGCGCTGCTGCTGCTCCGGCGGCGGGGGCGGTGGTTTCTGACGGCAAGCAGCCTTCAGCCGGCGCTGCTGTCTGACATTCAGCAGGCAGACAGCGGTCAGTAGCAGCAGCAGGCAGCCGGCCAGCGCTGCCACCAGCGAGGCCAGCAGCGCGGCTGGACAGCCGCCGGGTCGGGCGGCGACGGGGACCGGGGGCTCGGCCGCCGGCAGAGGCCGCTGAGATAGTGCTGAAACAGGGCAGGAGCAGCGTCAGAGCGAGCTAATAGCATCCCGGTCCTTGCCTTTCTGAGGACCAATGCATCCACATCCTCCCCCACATTACCTTTACTGGGCTTACGATCATCCCAAGTCCCAACAAGCAGCCGGCCTGGTGACTGGTGAGGTCAGCCTTGTCTGAGGTACGATCATACCGAGTGACCGTTTGAGCAGCAAGGCGGACTGTCCTACCAGGACGGCCTCTGCCGTTGCGGCGCACCGTAGGTGGTCCGCACAGCCCAATTGCTCCGTCAAGTAGGCATCCTTGTATCGCAAGGTCCTGCAATGGCCTTCTCAGGCCGAAAGAGCTCGCTCCCAATAAAAAAGAACGAACAAAAATTATATAATTGGCTCATTGACTAATGGCATTGACGCAATGGCAACTTTACACCGCACTTGCCTACATGTCCATTGTCCACGCACCCGGCTGGTTCACGACCGAATGGCTTAAATTTCAAAGCACCGATATATCAATTACGATCGGTATAGTCAATGTGTTGTATGCACTTTCAATACCATTCTTTTCGTCTTCCTTCTCTTCTTATCTCTCCTCATTATCATCCATATCCGTATTGGTATCGTATCTTTCTGACCATTCCTTACTCTTCCCGTTTCCCTGCTCACCGTGGGTATCCGGTATGACCACGCTGAAGGCCAGGTTTTGGCGCCAGTCAGTGGTGTTGGCGCCATTTAGACGGGCGTCACGCCTTCTCCTCCGGCCGAATCCCTGACCTCCGTCCGAGCACACCGCCTGGGGGCACGGTCAGGGCATTGAATGTCAGGTCGTGAGGGGTCACGTCAGGTGACGCTGGGTTGTCTCACCAAACTGCATGAATCACCTTATCATGGCGTGGGTAAGTTGAGCTAGCAGCTGGTGATATATCGGGACTAAGCACGAGTATGAATTGCCAGACGTTATAACTGGGCAGCTACGTATCAACTCAAGCTACAAAGGAGTCGTGTTTCACCCTCTCATGGTCTTAGTTTAGGATAAATCTCGTCAGGCTGGGATAAGCCCGTCTACAAATACATTTTACGCAGAGCGCTGCTGCTACCATCGGTCAGTACATGCCACCGTCTTAGTGAGTCACACTCGCCTGTCACCAAGTGACTGAGTGTCACGTGTGATCGTGTGTCAATGTGACATTGTCACTAAATGCCATTATGTCACTATGTGTCATAACGTCACTGCAGTCACCGTTTGTCATTGTTCGTCACTCTATGTCACTATGTCACCCACCGGCGCGCAGTCGGCGGCCTCGACACATCCTGTGACTCTGGCTGACACCTGCAATCGGTCACCCGACTCCATGCCCTGGAAGGTGAACACGCGGAAGGCGAAGTTGCTGATCAGCTGATTGGTCTGGTGACGAGCCGGGTGATCCGGAGCGATCAGCTGAAAAGAAAGGGGCGCAGAGGGGGAAGGGGGGGGGGGGTCAGGCAGTGGTTATATAAGTCACGGTAGGGTGTGTTGTCTAAAATGACCAGTCATGGGACAGAAGAGGCAAAACTTAATGAGTTAAGTGTCATAATTATGGCTGCTAACGAGGACAACAACTCGGTCAACGAGTGAAGTGTCAGACAACAGACACTTTAAACGAGTTAAGGTCTGGCTACATTATGCGTTTTCTGCGAGCGTTTTTTGCGAGTTTGTGTGATTTGCGGAATATCGTTCTAGAAAGAAACGACATTACGTTTTGTTATATGTTTTTCATATAAACTTTTAATCAATATAAACGTTTTATTAACTTTCATATAAATATTAAAGAAGCTATATTAAAAATAACTTTTTCTAGAACGAAATTGCGCAAAACACGCAAACTCGCAAAAAACGCACGCAGAAAACGCATAGTGTAGCCAGGCCTTTAGACTTGTATATGAATTGAGCAAAATGAGTGCATCGAGATTACAGCGGTAAACCGATCACTCCAGAAGCCCCATTCGGCCCGCCCGTAAAACAAACAAGATATATCAAGCCTTAGACGCGCATTTGTCGCCCGAATGCCGAAACAAGAGTGTCTCACTATATTCTTTACAGGGTAACGCATCCGCTAGAGCATCCTCTCCCCCACTTACGGTGAGGTCCTGGTTCCGACATCCATCGCTGAATACCAGCGGAGCGCTGTCTGACGGGAGACCCCCGCCGTCGGCCGCCACGCGCTCCACGAGGACGTCTGTGAGCTTACTGAACTGCCAGCCTGCCGGATCAGAGACAGTCACAATGATCAACAAAGAGGCTATTGAATTTCCGGACTGACGGTAAGGTAAACGTTACGAGTGGACGAGGTAAGCGAAAGGAGTGAAGATTTTAATTGGGCAATAGAGATCAGGTTAAGCATGTGTTTGGCATAGTCGGTTTAAGTCGGGTTCAGTTATGTCGGGATGTGGTCAGGTCATCAAAGGTCAGGTCAGTTTAGGCTGTAACTTTATTTGGGTTAGGGTTATACCAAGCCATTTTGAATCCCACCTTCTTTATAACGCTGAGGAGCACTGAAAATTACCTAAATAAAAGCAAAAAGTACTAATCACTAACCGTCCCCGGCCCGTATGATGCTGCGCAGGTGGAGCTCCTCGCCCAGTGTGATGGTATCTCCGGCTCCGACCACGGTGGAGAAAATCTCGGAGCCGGGGGTGCGCCGGAACAGCGCCACCTCGCACTCAAACTCCTGCCGACCGCCGCTGAACTCGACCGGCGAGAGGCTCTCGAAACTGGCGACAGACGGTGCGGAGGCTGATCAGGGAGATGGAGAGGTACTAACTGGCCACTGCACCGATCAGGGAGGGTGTGATGGTCAGGAGACGAGACGGCATTGTCCGGGAGGACTAAGTTTGGTAGGGAATGAATAGATAATGCAGATTTTAACTGTCTTTATTTAATTTTACCGATCCAATAAGGAGAAAAGTCGTCTAAATATGCGTTCCAATCAGCGAAATGCATACATTAGTCCGGAATGCAGATTGTTAAATTACATCACCAAATCATGCAGTACAGTAATGATTATACACGTCTTGTAGGGCAATCGAGCTCAAAGTTCAATCATCCAGATTCAGCAGTTCCATGCAGTCCAGAGGTCTAAGGACATGACCTCTGACCTGGCTCTGAGTCAGGTCCCGGAACCACTTACCCGACCAGCTGAGGTACGTCCCAGGTACGACCGGAGGTATCTGGTGACCTCCTACGTCCAGAGAGGCCCCAACCCGTGATAAGGTTAGTTCTCGATAGCCAAAGGACCCAAGTGTTAGGATTTATCGCTCTATCCTTATGAATGTAATTCAAAGGATCAAATTTCTATCACCTATTTGTTCGTGTAGATCCAGCAAAATGTTTCACCTGATTTGTTTCGAAACATGCCTTCTTCATGTAGCTAGATGAACCGTGTTTCGCTAGATAAAGATAGATCACCCGGACCCGCGCTGTAAATGAAATAGTTAACGACCGCCACCACCCCAACGCAAGCAGCCGCAACTTTGGCGTCGATTTTTACAATTGCCGACGTTATATTGACGTTAATTCACTCACCCGGTGGCCTGGACGATCAGCTGTTTGCCGGCCGTCTGGCTGGGATCCTGCGGCCGACACTGGATCTGAATGACGTCATCCTCGGGCAGGTGGATCCCGGCGATCAAAGGGAACCGGATCGTCAGACACAACCAGCGCTGAAACCACAGAGCGGTACTGTGAGGGGAAGTATCGGGCATAGGAAAACACGGCAATGGATCAGGACAACCGACGGGCGACCGCTGTGTTTTTTGTTTGTTTTGTTAGGTTAGGCCCTTTCGGTCCAATGGGACCATTTCAGAGCTGGGAGGATGATAGGATATAGGGGGAGACATTGGTCTGGGCAGGCACCCTAGTGAGTCACCGGGGCTGAACCCGTCCAGAGGACAGGCCACCCAGCCCCAAGGTACTCACTGCACCCGGCTACGGGGTGCGCTCCCTCGGGAGCAGCGGTGCCGCTCCAAGGGAGCAGCCCACATGAGATAAAGTTGTGTAGTGCACCGCCGCACGTTCTCCGACGCGGCGCGGCACTACCGCCGCTGGCGACTGGCGAGCGCTCCGACGCGGGGCGGCGCCACCGTCGACCTCAACGTGGCGCTGCTGTCGCAGCTGACGCGAGGCGCAGGTTCAGCGATATCCGCCAGATGGCTCTGCTCAGGGCCTCGTCTAAGGAATTTTCACTGGGGGGGCCAGAGACTGAAGGAGCCAAACCTAGGGTACCCCCAAATCCTGTTTTCTCACCGGATTTAGACCACTCATTTTTCATCACAGCCCTGACACCATAAATATTTTTTTTTTGTTTTTAAAACTAAAAAAAGTAGGCCATCCGACCCATGCTTGTATACCTATTAGTTTATAGCCTCCTCACATTGCCCCATCAGACAATAGACCGTTCCGTGCTTCTATCCTCAGGATACTGAAATCCTTCTCCTCCACGCCGCAACCCCCCTCCGGGCTGGACAGGCAACTTTATCCCATGCGGGCTGCTCCCTTGGAGCGGCGCCGCTGCTCCTGAGGGAGCGCACCCCGTAGCCGGGTGCAGTGAGTGCCTTGGGGCTGGGTGGCCTGTCCTTTTGGACGGGCTCAGCCCCGGCGACTCACTAGGGTGCCTGCCCAGACCAATGTCTCCCCCTAATTCCTACCATCCTTCCGGCTCTGCAATGGTCTTGTCGACCGAAAGGGCCTAACCCAACAAAACAAAAAACAACAAAATCAGACAATAATAATCACACTTCTCGTTGTTGAGCGTGTGATTGAGTGGCAGTGCCTTGTCTAAGGAGTTTGCATGCCGTGCCTTATGTCGAGGGCCCACACGCATATATATTTTTTTGCGAACCAAATCGGTTTCTGATGGGCCCCTCTGAGCGCTCGATGCCGATCTCTGAGGGCTAATGCCAACTTCTGGACCTATACTTCGGCCTCTATGGTAGCCCACACTGGTTTTATATGATCCATACCAGGCTTTAACCCTATTCCTGGCGGGCTCCGCCGGGACAAGAAACTGGCGGGGGGGGGGGGGGCCGATTCGGCCCCCCCCTTCAGATCTCAAAAAACTACACATCGCAGCGACAAACGGTAAACGGCATCGGATACGCACGGTCAAGATCTACAATTTTTACTAAGGTCATTTTCAGGTCAGGTCAAAGATGACGTCACAGGGGTCGAAAAAGTCAAAATGGCGGCGCTAGATATGGAGAGAGTTTTTCTCGAATAACTTTTGAATTAGTCAAGATAGGAACAAACTAAGGGCATCATCGTGATCCTCTCGTCAATCCGCATCGAATGATATATATGTTGACCTCGAAAGGTCAAGGTCAAAGGCTGACCTCAGGTCACGTGACCTCGAGGTCATCATGTATATCATTCGATGGGTCTTGACGAGCTGAACACAATGAGACCATCCACGCGTCTGTATCTTGTTCCTGTACGGAGTTATTGGCCAAAAACCTTTGGTGACCTTTGATGACGTCACATGACCTCACAGCTGCCCAACAGCAAAACAGACCTCAAGGTAGTGAAGGTTGATCGTATATGAAGTCATGTATGGTATATGGGGTCATTCCGACCCGTTTTAGTGGTAAAAACAGGGAGTTGATTTTTCCCCCATTGACTTATAATGGGGAGGTCGCGAAACTGACCTGACCTTAGGTCACCGATATCAAAATTCCGAGATATACAAATTGCACATACTGGTACCCTAACTAAAGCCTGAAGAGAAGAAATTGATCGGTCAAAAACTCTAGCTCTGGCGTGATTGCAAACTTTTCTGAGGTAGGGTCACCAAACCGCCTCTGGTGACCTGACCTGAGGTCAGATCAACTCAAAATTTTCAGACATGTTGCGTAGAAGCCTTTTAGGAAAAGCCAGAAAATTTGAGCTTCCTAGCTCAACGCGTTTGGGAGAAATAACCAAAAAACCTCAGGGGAGGGCTCCTGAGGCCCCCCCCCCCGCCAGGAATAGGGTTAAGGGTCAATCTGAGTGGAGACCGTATTTTCCCACTAGGGCTTCCTCAGACCAGTGTAATTGCCTGTGTATCAACTTGGAGACTGATGACTTCTCAGGTGGATTCTCCGTAATCGCCGTGGATCTTCAACACCCCCCCCCCCCCCTGGGTGGTCGTCAGAGGCTATAAACTAAACAAAAATGGAGATTACCCCGTGTAGTAGTGCTTTGAGGCCCGTTGGGACCCTAAGTGGCTGGCATTTGCCCTCCAGGACTCCATGCCGACTTCTTTAGATAATCCAGCTGTCAGAGTTCCCGTCCCCACAGACAGACCACCAATCTGGCATCTGCGCCTACGTACGACCACCCAGAATGGGAGCCTGCTTCATTACGATTAGGAGCTACTCTTGCCGCACACCGGTGACCGTCCAGCCAGAAGTTGGACGCCGCATAGCGAGGACGACGATAGGCAAAAACAAGAGATTGACGCCCCGAGGACAGAAACAATTCAGATTGATACCTAAAGGAGAAATTTTCGCCGGTAGAGCCTTGGACTCCGCGTAGTGAGGGCACGCGTCCCGGTTTAAACAGTCCGGGTTCGAAGCGCGACATCGCTCGATCTTTATGAGCCTCCTGGCGAGTACATGGTTACGGTTGGTGGCAGGCCGTAGCCATTCGAAGTCAGTGAGGGGACCGGCCGTGTGCGGCTATGTGCATACGTTAAATTTTGGGCTCTAAATTCTGCCATAGATCACGAATTGCGCGATCAGAGGGTAGAGGGCAGGGCTAACGCAAAGCTCTGTTTAGCGGGGGCTCTGTACTTGTGAATCCTTCCATTCAAAAAGGTTCGGACTAAATTTATGACAAAAAGAATATCCGGGACACGGAGTTGGGCGCCTGAAAAGACGAAATGTAACGCATTGCTGAGCGAAAAAAATGGTTCAGGTAAACAAAATAAACACATAACAGCCCTAGGTAATGGGGTCTCATCGTTTCGTTTACGCATTTGTTTTTATGTTCACTGACGCCTCGAAATAAAAATTCGTTTGCCTTTTGGCTATTGCCGGCCCCCCCAGTAGTGACTTTTTGCCCTGACTGGGGGGGCCAGGTCAATGACTGCGGGGGTTTGGCCCCCCCAGTTAACATGTTAGACGAGGCCTTGGCTCTGCTCCACTTGTTCATTTTTTATGTCCGATTTATTAATGTTTTAGAAATGTATGTTCGTGTGAATGTATCATAATGTTCATCGTCGTGTGGGCATTCACGCACTCTTCTAGAAAGTATCTCTCGCTCTGATGTACGTTTTCTCACTGCTTTGTACCTACTTTCCTTAACTTTGCCAAAACGAACTATGGTTTCATCGCTGCGTTCACTACATAGCTTGCTCATGGTGATTCAAATATATCGCTATCCTTGGCCGATCTAAGTGTTTGGGGGAGACGGCTCCACATCAGGGAACTTCCCAGCCCGTCGTTGTGTGGAATCCCAAGTTGCGAATCCCAAACACTGGAACGGCTTCATCCGGCTTAGAGCACGACACGCCACGGCACCAGCCACAAATGGTGACCCCGACGTGATCGGTAGCTCAAGAAGTCATCGTCTCCGCCTCGGCAAGAAGAGGTCATCTTTGACCTGGCCTCCCCATCGCCTCGGCAAGAATGGGTGATCTTCACCCGGCTTCCGCTGCCGCGAACAGTGAATAGTGCGCTGGTGACGTGGCCTAGCCTCAGCGCAACGAGCGCCCAACGCAGTGCAGCCACGCAGCTCGCGCACCCCACTCCCGGCGCAGCGCTGAGTCTGCAGGTCGATGCCTCTGACACCGGCGTCGGCGCTGTCCTACAGCAACACTCGCACGGGACCTGGACGCCGCTGGCTTTCTTCTCGAAGTCACTCCAACCAGCAGAGACACGCTACAGCACCTTCGGCCGCGAACTGCTCGGGGCGTATCTGGCGGTCAAGCACTTCCGGCACACTCTGGAAGGCCGCCAGTTCGCCATCTTCACCGACCACAAGGCCCTCGTGTCGGCAGTCTCGTCTGGGTCAGCCAGCTACTCGCCGAGGGAGATCCGGCACCTGGACTTCATCTCCCAGTTCACCACCGACATCAGGCACGTGCCTGGGAAAGAAAACGCAGCTGCGGACGCTCTGAGTCGAACAGTGGCGATGCTCTCAGCACCGTGCCCGCCAGTCGACAACTTCGACGAGCTCGCAGCCTGCCAGCAAGAGGACGAAGAGCTGGCGCGCTTCCGCTCGACAGAGCACGGGCTCAAACTCAGAGACGCCCGGCTCCCCAGCGGCCGCACGCTGGTCATCGACGAGTCCCAGGGTGTACCGCGGCCGTGGATCCCGGCACCGCTCCGGCGCGCCTACTTCCGGCACGTGCACGATCTGGCCCACCCGGGAGTGCGCGCCACCGTCGACCTGGTCACGCGGCGGTTCGTGTGGCCGTCGGTGAAGAAGGACGCCGCACTCTGGGCGCGCACCTGCGTCCCGTGCCAGCGCACCAAAGTCCACCGGCACACGACAGCGCCGCCCGCATCGTTCCCGCCACCTGCCGACAGGTTTCGACAAGTGCACGCCGACCTGGTCGGCCCGCTGCCGCCGTCTGAGGGCTTCTCGTATCTTCTGACGGTGGTGGACCGGTACAGCCGCTGGCCGGAGGCGATCCCGCTGCGTGGCATCACGGCGCGAGAGGTCGCCCGGGCGCTGATCTCCGGCTGGATCTCTCGGTTCGGCGTCCCGGACGAGATCATCACCGACCGGGGCAGCCAATTCGAGTCGGCGCTCTGGGCTGAGCTGTCCACTCTCCTGGGCTGCGCGCGGCGCCGGACCACCGCGTACCACCCCCAGGCCAACGGGATGGTGGAGCGCCTGCACCGGCAGCTTAAGGCCGCGCTGCGCGCCGCCGCGCCCGCCCGCTGGACGGAGGCTCTTCCTTTGGCGCTGCTCGGAATCCGCTCGGCGCTCAAACAAGACCTGGGCTGCAGCACTGCCGAGCTGGTGTACGGAGCGCCGCTCCGCCTACCTGGTGAACTCATCACCCCGTCCGCCACCGCGCCTCCTACGCCGGAATCATTCGCCGCCGAGCTTCAGCGCACCATGGCGGCACTGCGCCCGACGGCACCTCGACCAGCACCAAGCGCGCCGTCGTACGTGCCGCGCGCGCTGGACCACGCCTCGCACGTGTTCGTGCGCCACGACGCAGTGAAGCCGCCGCTTGCCCCGCGTTACGACGGACCTTACAAGGTGCTACACAGATCGGCGAAGACGGTCACTGTGGACCGAGGCGGTCGTTCCGACGTTATCTCCATTGACCGAGTCAAACCGGCGCACTTGGAACGGCCCCCGCCTGCTCCAACTCCGACAGCATCGCCGTCTGCGGCCCAAGACACGGCGCGTTCCGCCGACTCGGCAACACCGGCCTCCGGCCCCGAGCTCCTCCTGCCAGCGCCTCGCGCACCGAAGCCGCCGCTTCCGCCACCGCGTGGCGACCTGCCGCTACAGCCGACGCCTCCGCCCGCGCCCCCACCGCCGTGCCTACGGACGACCCGCTCCGGCCGTGCTGTACGGCCACCAACGCGTTTTCTTAACGTCACGTTCGCCGTGCCGTCTCTAGGGGGAGGGTGATGTAGTGCACCGCCGCACGTTCTCCGACGCGGCGCGGCACTACCGCCGCTGGCGACTGGCGAGCGCTCCGACGCGGGGCGGCGCCACCGTCGACCTCAACGTGGCGCTGCTGTCGCAGCTGACGCGAGGCGCAGGTTCAGCGATATCCGCCAGATGGCTCTGCTCCACTTGTTCATTTTTTATGTCCGATTTATTAATGTTTTAGAAATGTATGTTCGTGTGAATGTATCATAATGTTCATCGTCGTGTGGGCATTCACGCACTCTTCTAGAAAGTATCTCTCGCTCTGATGTACGTTTTCTCACTGCTTTGTACCTACTTTCCTTAACTTTGCCAAAACGAACTATGGTTTCATCGCTGCGTTCACTACATAGCTTGCTCATGGTGATTCAAATATATCGCTATCCTTGGCCGATCTAAGTGTTTGGGGGAGACGGCTCCACATCAGGGAACTTCCCAGCCCGTCGTTGTGTGGAATCCCAAGTTGCGAATCCCAAACACTGGAACGGCTTCATCCGGCTTAGAGCACGACACGCCACGGCACCAGCCACAGTTGCCTGTCCAGCCCGGAGGGGGGTTGCGGCGTGGAGGAGAAGGATTTCCGTATCCTGAGGATAGAAGCATGGAACGGGTGTAATGGCTCGTTTGTTTGTTTGTTTTGTTGGGTTAGGCCCTTTCGGTCCATTGAGACCATTTCAGAGCCGGGAGGATGATAGGATATAGGGGGAGACATTGGTCTGGGCAGGCACCCTAGTGAGTCGCCGGGGCTGAGCCCGTCCAGAGGACAGGCCACCCAGCCCCAAGGCACTCACTGCACCCGGCTACGGGGTGCGCTCCCTCGGGAGCGGCGGTGCCGCTCCAAGGGAGCAGCCCGCATGAGATAAAGTTGCCTGTCCAGCCCGGAGGGAGGTTGCGGCGTGGAGGAGAAGGATTTCAGTCTGAGGAAAGAAGCACGGAACGGTGTAATGGCTCGGCAGTCACTCGCTGGGTCACTGATTTCAGTAATGCGTGGGATGTCATTTCTGTCATTCATGACTGCACTGAACAGTTATAACCGCTCCAAAAATATATCGAACAATTTTAATGACATAAAAGCTGGGTAGCGCGTATCGAGAACGGAATAAAACAACCAAGCGCGGACCCTTGCGCGGACCCTAATAGCGGCATCAAGCCTTCCGGCACAGCATAACTGCAGGCGTTCGACGCTAGCGTCATCTATTTATCTTTGCAGAAGCTATAGTACGCAATGTGAATGCTTTCCTAGAAACTTACATAAATGACGGCGAATAAAAGAAAACTCATCCATTTTACAAACATTGCATTGCCTGTAGCAGCTAGACTGCTAGACTATGGTAGACTTTAACAGCATCGAGCTTCGCAGGCTTCCATTAAATGTGCAGTATGCCTTGCTCTCTGGTGAGTAGATGTCGCCCTGGTCAAGGCGCTGTTTTTAATGTTCATCTCGGGCTCAAAGCTCTTTTGCTTCATTCCCCTTTTCTAATGCTAACAGTTTCAGGCTAGCTGGTAAATAAAATAAAGTACAATAACCTGTTTCGTCTAAGGGCATATCGCCGGCATAACAACCAATGCCACTGATCGACAAATGAGGGTGCCGTGCCTGACCGATCAGGATCTCCGCCTCAGCCTGACAAATCCCGCTTACCTCGCCGCTCGGCTGTACACAGCTCTCCACACCACACGCTTCCAAATTCGTCACAGCCAGCTCCAGACGGCGGCCATCTTGTGACGACGTCATAGCGCAGACAGCTGAGCTGAACGGGTTGACGGCAGGTCGGAGGGTGAGCACAGGTGGCGCCACCAGCGGCCGGGACGAGAGGACCGTAGCCGTCAGGTGTTCTCGAGAGGAGCTCTGAAGACATCGGATATCTGGACAGGGGAGAGAAACGGAGGTCAAACTTTGGGTGGGATGGTCCGTTCTTACGGCCTTCGAAATCTCCAAAATATTGATAACTATTGCCAATGTACGATAGAGACACGGTACGGTATGGTAGCCAATGAAGCTTTGTCTACGCATTTCATCCATATTTCAAGGTAGACAGTCGTTTTAACAGCTGTCTTCTAATGAACACAAAAGCACAGACACCTACGCCTGGCGTTGAGACATTGCACCGGCACATACTTCCGAAGAGGGTCACGGCAGTCCGGAAGCGTTTAGGTAGCCGTGTTAGCGGCATGTACATTATAAAATGTACACATTCACTCACCGGTGGCCTGAACGGCTCCGTCGCCCAGTGTGGGCCCCACCGTGGGCGCTGGCGGCGGCGGTGACGGCGGGGGCGGCGGAGACGGGGCGCCGCCCTGGGTGGCGAAAATCACCTGAGAGTTGACGGCTGGAACGGGACGGGAACACGGTGCGTGAGTGAGAAAATCTCACATTACTACCGATTTCAATGCGTTTAGACATCCATTCCAAGGAAACATTTCCAAATGCTACTGCACATTTCCAAAACGAGCAGCCCCGAAAATATTGATAGCTTAAAAATATCGATTGTCCGGGAGTACCGAAACGAGTTTGTGTCATATTTAACGCATCGTTTCCCAACGGTCTCGCCCGAACTCACCTCCGGGCGGGCCGACCGGCGGTGACACCGGCACGGGGAGGTTGAGCGCCGCCGGTGCTGCGGCGCTGTACCCCGGGGGAGACGGTGGGGGTACCGGAGCCGGTGGGGCCGGGGCGGGTGCCAGGGCCGGCGGCCGGACCAGCCCCGGCGGCCGGGCCGGCGCCGCCGGGGTCGGGGCGCTCACTGCTACCACTGACGGACTGCGACTGAACACTGGTCCGGCCGGGGGGCCGCGCGCTCCCAGCTGCCGCTGCAGCTGAGAGCTCAGCCGACGTCCGAACTGGCGGCCCTGGCGGCGGACCGACGTAGATGGCGCTGCCATCTGGGTCGACGGTGGTGCCATCTGTCAAATAAAGGAAGCGGCGTCAGTTGAAGACGAATCGATCATACCTGACACCAGGTCTAAACTCTAAGGTGGGGTCAAATGAAGTGTGAATTATTGAAGGTCGTGTCAGGGTCAGTTTAGATCAGGTTAGGTCAGGATCAGGCCAGGGTTAGGTCACGGTCAGTTCAGGACAAGGCCAGGGTCAGGTCAGGGTCAGGTCAGGGTCAGGTCAGGTCAGAGTCAGAGTCAAAGTCAGGGCAGGGTCAGATACAGTTCAGGGTCACTTACGTTAGCGGGAAAAATAAACGAATAAACCTACACTTGGTCGTGTCAGGCTATAGGCACCATGTACATATGTACGAGTACTATGTACAGCTTTAGTAGGTCAGGGTCAGGTCAGCTGGGTTCAGCAGTAATGTTTAACAAGAACTAGCATACAAAATTGACAATAATAATGCCGTAATGCCAGGGACGGATGCTCACTTCCATGCATCCGTGCCACCCAATTACCAATGCTACACCCCAATACCTATAACCCGACTGCACCCACCGGTCCCATCGCCGCAATCAGCTGTGCAGACGTGTCCTCGGCATTGTCCTCTGTTCCTCCATCAGCGGTATCCTCTCCGGAGGAAATGCTGAACGAACGGACACCCAGCAGCTGAAGGAGACAACAAACGTGTCAGAGGGAATAACACGTAGGTATATAATTCATTTATTGGCAATAGACGGACAGTGGACACGGAGCTAGTATGACATAAAAATACGACGATGGGAGGGGGAAGAACACGTCAGGTGTAGCTAGTTGATTAATTCTATGGCAAAGAATAAATACTGAGCAAATATAACAGAAAAATACGACGACGGGAGGGGAAATAATACGTCAGGCGCAGTTTACTAATTCTTTGGTAAAGAACAGACACTGAGCACTGAGCATCTATGAAAGACAAAGACACGACGGTGTCAGAGATAGAGGTCATAACGTAAGGTACCTATACCTACTAAGGTTACACATAATGCCAGCAATACGCCTTTTGGGGCGACAGCCGACAAACGAGCGAGTCAGAGAGTGAACCCTGGATCTACGCTGATGGTAGGGGGTACTTCCAACTAACTTGTGTACGGCACCCTACCAACCAGTCTATAGCAGCGTGCCGTGCCAAATTTGAGCGCAATCGGCCCAGCCGTTCTTGAGATCTGAAAGCGGCATCCTGCAGGTGCGGACGTGCAGCAGCCACCCCAGGTTCTCAACCGTGACATAGGTATGGATACGTATTGCACGGTGGGTGACGACTACTCACATACCAAGAGTTTCAGCAAAATCGCCGTTGTAATTGCAAACTTATTGTAACGGGAACAAAGATGACGTCTCTTCATTTTACATTTTGGTCACCCACATGCATCGAGACTCGAGAGTAGTCCGATGTTTGGTAGAGGCCAGAAGGGATGCAGCTACCCTACACAAATTATCGCAAGTCAATCACCCTAGCCGTTGCTGAGTAATTAATCTCTCAAAAGCGTTACAGGCCGGACCAGGCCGGGTCGGGTCGATCATTCTGTTATTTTTTCCGTTATATTGAAAAGACTGCTTCGCTCGCTGCGCTCGTAAAAAAGAACACGAAAAAATGGCGATTCAAGTGTGAGGCCGCTTTGCTGCCGCCATATAGAAGTTCCAAAAACACCCAACTTTGATTGCGTTGTGTATTATTCGACACACCAAACGATCGATGACTCAGAGAAAACGATGCATGGGTCCCCTTGCTCCTTTGAATTTGAGGTAATTTCAATCAAAGCTGTGCGTAGCATAACCAGTTGCTGTAGAGAACGGTCATCGGTCCGTGTACATCTCAGTCTGAATCTTTCAGCGTCCTCCACCGCCTCCGCCTCCGCCTCCGCCACCACCGCCGCCGCCACCGCCACCGCCTCCACCGCCTCCAGGCAGCGCTAGAAAAGAGGGAGTCCAGTTGTGATTTTAAATGAAGTTTATCTTTTCACATTGAATACTCTTTTTCAGTACGAAATAAGTTTAAATTTCATGGAAATCACCTATCTCCTAACTGCCAATACAAGTGAAAACAATCGTGAGAAAGAAAATTGAAATGAAAAGTGCCTGTCTGACCCTATTATAACTTACGTGAGGCGGAGGCGGCTGCGAGCAGCCCCAGAACGAGGACAGCCAGGTACTGCGGGCTGAACCACTGCATGGTGAGGTCTGAGGCAGCCATCAGCAGCCGGCCCTATATGTATACCGCCCGGGTGGACCGATCCCCATCTGATCCCGGGAAGTGGGCCTCTCAGTGCCCCAAAGCTCCGCCCATTTCAACACGAAGTGGGCCCCACGGCGCCTCCGAAACTCCGCCCCTTCTCGGATTATTTGTGGTTACAAGTAACTGGAAATAATATGCGGAAAAACCGCATGCTGGTCCTTCCACAGCGTTGCTTCATCCAGGTACGTCTTCCGACTCTCGGGGGATGTCTGAGGCTCCCAGGTTCATTTGCGCAAAACGTCAACAGACTTGAGTTTAGCCTTCATTTGGTGCAAAATGAATAATAACATCCAGTTCATTTGCACTGTAACTGAGTATGTTACGCTGTTAAAGGGAACATATCACTATTCGGCTCAAATTAGTTGTTTGCTATAGTTGGATTTTTTCGTGTACCTACAAGTAAGACAAAATATTTTCAATCTGTGGAATAGGCAAACTATTATGGGTTTGGCAGCGGAGGCTGATAACGGGTTGACCAATCTGGGCTCGATCGGGTCGATAGGGAGCGCGTGGCGCGTGCTCAAAAAAGTGCAAATTCGCGTCATAGACTTTACATGTATAAATCGGCGTGCGAAATCGGGCGAAAACAGCCAAATTTGCCCAATTCTGTCCAAGGTTCAGTCTTCATTTTTGCATGATGAGCAACAGTATTCTTAAAAATGCAAATGTTTCAAACCATTACATTGTCATTTTTAGCGAAATTCATCGATGGCCCTCAAAAGACTTCACGCCAGTTTTCAAATCATTCTAAAGTAGAACGCATGATAATACCTACGACACGGGCAACTCGATGCGATGCATCTTATTTGCTTTATTACAAAATGCTTGGCCGTCAAAAAGCAATCAAAAGAAATGGATACCAACCAAATCGACACAGGACCAACCCAATACCCACGGGTCAAAAATTTAAAATAGCCCTTCTTCGCGTTGCGGAGCACGCGGGAAACCCTAGTATTACCTAGTTCAAGCAAACTGCATGTTGATTGGCTGAGGATTGGCCTCTGCCACAGGTGGTTGGCATTCGGAACGAGAAATGGAATTTATCCTTACCTATAAATGCCTATAGGGTGAATGATCGTTGGGCGGTAAAAGCTCCTGACTTGTGCTAGTCTCACAGTTCGCTCAAGTTACAAAAAAGCTATTCCAGTTCAAAACCCCATGTTAAAAGTGGCATATTTCCTTTCATAGGATATGTCAGTGCACGTAAGTTTCGTGTATTTCGTGTATCGTAGGTAGGTACTATTTAGGGGTACCTTTATAGATTTAAACGTTACATTTTACTCGCAGTAAGAAGCGAATGAAAATCAAGGTTATTGTCCTTTTTGTAAAAATTCATTTGATTTATCAGTGTTCCACATTTCTCACTTTTCAGTGACCTGTGCGCTAGGCGCCTTTGTCTCCACTCTCCACTATTCATATGCCATTTCCATAATATCATATCACACAACATAACCCGTCTCGCAGTGCAGCGCGGCTGACGACGATCGGCATTTCCAGTGCGCAGTGGCTGACAACTTTCCGAGAACCCGGTACTCGGCATGGGGCCGCCCGCTGCTTGTTTATCGACACCAGCTTACCTCGTCTCGCCTCACCTGACCTCAACTCACCTCACCTTTCTAGAAATTAGTTCCCTGCGCAGAGGGGCCAGCTATATCAGCCGATCTGACCTCCATTCACCCTTCAACTTTGCGCCTCTCTACAGTCGGCCCCCGACTTAATATTGCCAACGGAAAGGTGCCCCCCAGATTTGTGATTTGACTGGCGGCGACTGGTATATGGAACATGGAAGGTAGATGACACCAAGGGCAAATAGAGGCGGGGCCAGGGGTACATAACCGCTGCGCGATTCGGAGGCCTCAGTCGCCAACATGCGACCTCTTCTGGTGGTAATGGCGCTGGTTGTGGCCGTGACAGCCCAAGGTAGGCAGCAGAACGCCGAGAATTCTGTCACTGAGTTGCAGTCGATCTATGTAGAGCTATAATTCAAGTTGGAGAAATGCTACTTGATTGATGCTGGTTTGGGAATATTTTGACGCTATTTTAACGTGTTCAAGCAATTTGAAATCAAAAGGCGCTTTGGTGAATGTCTCTGTAGGCAGGTATCATCACAAACAAATTATAATGTTTTATGCATGTAACAGTACGATATAATGAACTAAGCAATAATCCACTGTTAGCTCCAGTTTTTCAATAGAAAGACACAATTCTACCGAATAGTGTTTGTCTATTTCAAACAACCTGCGGTTATATCACATAAAATTGTTCGTACTTCGGCTGTAATAAAGAAAATACATGCCTTGAGTTAGACTCGTGTGAAGAATAATTCAATAACAAAAAAGTTAACAATCTCAATGGACAACATTCCTGACCGAAAAAAAAACGTTCTCTGACAGGTGGTGGTGGCGGGGGCGGTTTCGGCGGTGGAGGCGGCGGCGGCGGCGGCGGTGGCGGTGGCGGCTTTGGCGGTTTCGGCGGGTTCGGCGGCGGTGGCGGCAGCTCAGAAGGCCCCGGGTCTTTCGGCGGCTCCGGAGGCGATTCGGGCCGGCCGGGACAGCCGGGAGGAAGTGGAGGTTTTCAGCCCAGTTCAAGACCATCCGGAGAAGATCCCGGGACCTCCCCGGCTCCGGGAGGATCCGGAAACCCCGGAGCTCCGGCGGGACGCCCCGGAAACCCGGGAGCTCCTGGATTCTGACTTCTGATAGAGGCAGTTTCTGCATTGACGAGCCCCCGTGGCTTCTAAAGCTTTTGAAACAACGAGCAAAGCAGTGTTCAGACGCGTTAATTGAAAAGGCAATACCTATTTCCAGGGTCAGGCTGGATACCAACCAGCGCGGAGAGCGGCGATGTCATGTCTGTTAAAGCAGATAATTGTGAACATGCAGCGTCTGTCCATGTCGTTATCGGCAGCATGAATGCTGAATACATTTTTAGAGGTTCACTTTGGTTTACTGCATTTCCGTTCTCTACTCTATCGATTTTTTCCCATTCCTCTCTGGAATCACACATGGCCCGACTAAATTCCGGATGCCCGTCATACGAATCATCAGCGCATGCCGGGGGGGGGGAGGAGGTGGCTCTACATCTGTAGGTTACAGAGTCCCTACCCCTTTCAGGAGCCCGACGTGTCCCTTGCAGAGATTTTGCGGGGTGCAGAAAGAAATGTTGCACCCCTATTTTGGATAGGGTGCAGCTGCACCCCCTGCACCCCCTCTTCCGCCGCTTTGATTCGGATCCTTTATCTTGCCTCAAACGCGCCACATTGCAAATATCGGACTTTCCAAATAATTTGCAAATAGTGCGGAGCCATTTAAACAGAAAAAAGTGACAACTAAAATACATGTACCTTGAACAATCAAGCACTCATTGGGTGTTTATGTGTGTTATTAGAATCAGCAGCCTAAGCAATCCAGCATTAGCCGAAACAAGCCGATCTTTTCAATTAAAAAAATCAGAACCCTGATAAGACAATGAAATATGTATTTGTAAGAAGGGGAAAGTGGGTGTATTGCGCCCTCCTAACCAATTGCGCCCACCCACATTCCCACGAATTCAATGGCATGTTCAGCATTTTGTTTTCGAAAACATTATTCTCACCACTGGATAGTTCCTTTTATGGCCCAAGCTCTCCGATGAAGCCAATCAGCAAGGCTCATTACGCCATCGAAGATATTACGGCGTTTTCTTAACTTTTTGGCAGCATTTTGAACCGTTGGCTATAAAAATAGGCGATACTTGTGTGATTTTGAGAGTGATATTTGGAAAGAAAAATCCTTTTTTCATTATATTTCACTGAAACAGTAAACATCCTTTAGCATCTTTATGGTAACTTCTACGCTTTTATTAAAAAGTACCTCAATTTTAATTGCGCCCATGGCAATTGCGCCAGGGGGGGCGCAAATAGAATAATGGTGTAGCTATTGTGTCACGACAGTATAAATGCATCATTAACTGATTGCAATAAAGAAGGAGTTTTATGTCAGGCAGGGGAGCAACCCGCCATCGTCAGTCCAAAAATTATTTCTCTCATCGAACTTATAATGTAGCTGCCATTTGGGCTATGAACTTGCGGTGTAATTGACAAAATACGGCATTTTTAACATGGACACAGGCGTGAGAGGTGACAGCTATGATACAAAGTAAAAACTGATGTCAAAAAAGTTGTAGAAGCAATACAAAATATTAATTTTGAGAGAAACGATTGAAAATATCACCGTCTAGGCGCATACGTTCATATATATCTAGTCGGTTACATAAAACGTTTTCGTTCCACTTCACAAGCGTACCGGACACAAGTAAAGTTATTTACCTGCGAAAAAAACATCGCAATTTATATCTACATTTATTATGTATCGAGCTTGATTCACATAATACATGTTCAAGTAAGCCACAATGACATAGAATGCCGGAGTGTATGCTTTCCGTCTCCTTTGCTTAGCCATGTTAAAGGACAGGGCGCAATTGGATTCTAATTGCGCCATCCCCCTGGCGCATTTTACAGCAGTTGTTGGTAAATGCGCCCTTTTGCATGTTTCTGAAAAAGCAGCTATCAGAAGCAAACGAAACTTTCTTAATTGATCGGGAGGCCCTTAAATCGTAGCCAATGAGTTCCTCTTTAAAATGGTTACCATTGCATGCTTACATCTCAAGTGGTTTTCTTACAATTAGCGTTTTTCCTTAAGGTGGCGCAATTCACCCTCCTTCCCCAACATCTTTTCCTGGAGCCCCATGTGTGCACTGTTGCATACAAGGCTGTTGCATATTTCAGTGTCAAATGATGCGCATTTTCTACTCTCCGGGTCATCCTCTGTGGTAATTCTCCAGCGGGAATCTGAGCCGGGCCTCCCGCATGTAACTATACCGGTATTTTCCGACCTATCTGACCACCATAGGGGTGGCGCCAGCGCTATATAGCGTGGTCGTACGTCCGAGTCGTCACACTCATCATGAAGCTGTTCAGGCATCTGCTTCTGTTGGCAGCGGTCCTGGTGACGCTACTATTCGCCGTCTCCGCCGCACGTGAGTGAAGCTCTTCTCAAAACACAAATTGATGTCGGTTTAGCACATGGTCCGGGTGATTTAGGTACTTGTTGGATGGCAGCTTTTCAGATGAATATCTGAAGCATGGCACCTGCATGTTTTGATCAAAGGGAGAGAATAAAGGGAACAAACCTTTGTTTTACAGAAATGCCTATTTAATTTTCTTTGCTGTTTTCAATGCCAGCTTCACTCAGGAAGATCAAATTAGAATCTGACAACCGAGCAAAATACAATAAATAAATGAATGACATCGGCTTAGTGACAAATTTAATTTTACATTACTATTGGTTCACAATCCCTGTAATCACTATGTAGAAAAAAAGTGAAGAAACATAATCGAAATATAGGGCATGCCTTCAAACGTTTTTCTCCATAGCCGGCGGTGGCGGTGGCGGCGGCGGCGGTGGCGGAGGAGGCGGAGGCGGCGGCGGTGGCGGAGGCGGAGGCGGAGGCGGAGGCGGAGGCGGCGGCGGAGGCGGCGGCGGTGGCGGTGGCGGTGGCGGCGGCGGCGGAGGCGGTATCTTTGCCAGATGGCGCCGTCTTCGACTTCGTGGATGATGGTCCAGCAATAAATGAATCTTCATCGATTCTCAATCTCTTGTTGCATGATTTACACAGTGATGTCTGGTGACTTCAATAAAATGAAAATATGGCGGAAAAAAGATGCCTTGGAATGGCAAAATGTGTTTTATGATAACCTGATTAAATTTATTCTTGTCATTCGCCTTTTAATCATGATTTGCTTCTTGATAAATAACGATCCGGCCGTCTTGTTATATATCGACATAATATAACAAAGTCTGCTGAATCCATATGTGGTCCTATAGCTTCAAGCATGCATCCCGAAGATAGGAAGACGGTAGCGACAGACAAAGCGACAAAGCGACCAACACCTAGAACACCAGAGCCAATTGCACAAAGTGCCAACACGGCCCGAATGTTGCACAATGCGTCACCCGAGAATCAAGCAGTGCAGACGATATCGGTCATCGGGCTACGACCTGACCCTGACACATTATGCTGACACCACGCTCGCACAAAGCAGTCGCTTATTCGTAAGAACACCGAGGCAGAAACTCCGTATCTCACAGGTGTGTGAACAAGTGGGACTTGCGTCGGCATTGCACTGTTCTATTCACGCCACATTAGGGCACAAAAGGTGTAATCGATAGCGGCCGAGTGGCACTTTTCAAATCGACTTTGATTCTTCTGTTTTACATCAGACGTGCTAATTACGAGTATTGCCCGTGTCAAAGCTGACTCCAGGTGACCTCGTCACTACACAAGTCTGCAGATAAAGTGCACTGTTTCTGCAAAATGAACATCTCCCATCAGCACCGTTCTGCAGAAACTCTGTCAATGACGCACATCTCGCACACTTGTGACATTGACGGATCCGGTATAAAAGACCGGCCCCGCCCGATTTTCCCCAAAGTCGGAAAGACAGAACCAACAGACGCCAACACCAGAAACTGCGTTTCTCAGCGCTTCAAGATGTTCTCGTTGACTGTCGTTTGTCTTCTGGTGGCCGGTGCTTTGGCCGAGCCTGAACCCCGGGCTTCCAGGAGCCGGTCAACTTTCGAGGAAGTCCTGACATCAATGAGTACTCGCCTCAAGTCCCAGCTCTCCGCCACTGAACTGGAGGACCTGAAGTCGGCCACTCCGTTCACCTGGTCCGCTGGGTCGCACACTCTTAGCGCCGGAGTCTACATCCTAAAATCGCCCAACTTCCCATTCCTGTATCCCAACAACTATGATCGCACCTGGACGATTGTTGGAGACGAGGGTCAGGACATCCGCATTGACTGCGGCTACAAAATTCAGTACTCGAGCTCCTGCAGTAACGACTACCTCCAAATTAACGGCGCCGTCCGCTGCGGCATCGGGCACTACGGCACCGACAGCGACGAGCTGGAGATCAGGTTCGTCACCAACCGCTTCTTCCGCTCGCTAGGATTCGTCTGCGGCATCGTGGTGCCGTCCGCTGCTACCACTACGGCGGACCCGGCACCGTGAGCTCGGCTCCCGACGAGCGAGGCTGCCGCGAGGCGCTGGGAGAGTGGTAGAGTCGGCTGCAGGGGGCTCCATATCAAAGCATACAAAATCTTATCATACAATCATCAAAACATACAAAATCGTAACATACAACGCGCAAAACCTACAAAACAGGCCGGGTAGGGGACAGTCAAAACATACAAAAGCGCAGCATACAAAATCGTGTCATACAAAATCGCAAGGTACAAAATCGTTTCACACAAAAAATCAGTGGAAAATTAATGGCATTAATCAAAGTACGCATCATACAAAACCATTTCATATAAATTTACATCATTTCGTCGTCCTTGAGATGTCAATTTTCAGTTGGATCAAAACCTACAATCTCAACTGCGCTTCAAGCGACATCTTTGTTAGAAGTTTGTGTAGTTACGAAATATTCCACTAGATGCCTCCTCTGTCAAAGCACAGCCAAGCTTTGCACGGCCAGCGTTTTTTGCTTGTTTATACAGTGAGCGCCGGTCTCGGAGCGACGGGGCGTCCCGGTGGCGCCGTCGTCCCCCTCCCTCAGACTGGGCAAGGTCTCCCCTCCCTCGGCAGACGGCGCGGCCCCAGAGGAAACGGCCAAGGCCGTGCCTGACTTACATCCCCGCTCTCTGCGGGCCGGAGAACGAAGTTGGGCTTGGTAGTTGGTACATTGAGCAGCATTCTGCTCATTTTGACCATAGCTGCCGGAACATAATTCGTAAATTAAATTGAAAACTGCAAAAGAAATTTAACTGACTTAACCCTCGCCCGTATAGGGGGGAGGGGGTCGAACGGACCCCCACCCCCATGGTTTTTCGCGAATAACTCGCGTAAAAAGCGGTTGATCACGATGAAACTTTCAGTACTGTCGAGTCAATCAATTGTACACTTACCCTTAAAAGTGCATGACCCTGTCCCAAATGAACCTTGACCTGCGGCCTATTTTTCGAGACCATGTTTGGCCGGAATCGCGATTCGGCGTATCTCGGCTCGTATTAGCCGCGCGTTTGCAGTATTTTTGCGGTTTCAAGCATTCAAACATGTGATATGATGTTGGTCCCAGGCATTATGGTGGGTGTCAAGGTCACCTGAAGATCAGGTCAGATCATTGACCTTTGATGACCTAGGTTCACTTTTTTGAGTTTTACATGTTTCTAGGCTACTTTTTGGAGCTGATTTCGAATTAAGCAACCATTTGAGCATTTACGAAGTTGTGTTGGTGTCTTCGTAACATTTTACGAAGCTGTCAGTAACGGCTGACACGTACTATGAATACCTGGCAGGACGTCTACTGATTGGCCTGACCTGACCTGACCTGGCCTAAATGCATTAAGACATCATCTGTGATCAAAACTAACACGATATTCGTGATCAGCACCCCGAAAAACCCCTCATCAACCTCACTTTACGATGTTCTAACAGGTCCCGATTTTCCAGACTTGTGGGTCATTGACCTGACCTGGAAAGTCAACCAATGACCTAGGACCTTAAATTTTTTCTCGAAGCGCTAGCTCGATCAGGGGCCAAACGGCAAGGGGGGGCTGTCCAACGGACCCGCCCCCCCCCCCCCCTATACGTTCGTGGCTGGCAAAACACCAATACGGGCGAGGGTTAACCCGGCAGTTGCTGGGGTATTTCGCCACACACCACTTGCTGGGTGGGGGTGGGAGGGGGGGGGGGTAAACTTTCCCAGCCCATAGCTCGAGAACCCATAGCCCATAGCCCATAGCTCGAGGCGCAGCGAAACGGGCGAGGCAGCAAACAAAATAACGCTACGAGAGGCTTCTGATGAGTACCTTCAAGTGGAGTTCAGAGGACACAGGTCGGTTCAAGATTATTTTAAACACCTGAAATTAGGCTTTTAATAGCATGGACTTTAAACCTCAAACTGGGCGTCTCTCGTAGCAAACTATGTCTCCAACGGACCCCCCCCCCCCCCACATATACGTTCGCGGCTGGCAAAACACCAGTACGGGCGAGGATTAAGGACTTATGTGTTTGTTTGTATGCTCTTTGAAACCCCTTCCGTGACCGCGTTTTCAGCCGCTAGCATATAATTGGGGGGGGGGGGAATTCTGTTGGATCCCCAATTGTTCAGTCCCTAACCGAACTATAGCTTCGCGAAAACATGAACGTCCTACCGTAACTAAAGAAAGCCGATGATACCCGATTTTAAGATCGCCGGTCATTAGTTGGCATTTCAATTCGGGTAAATGACTTAAGTCAGGGAAATTGTGGCCTATTTTAACTTTTTAAAGTGAGGTTGTTAGTGAGTTTTTTTTTCGGTGTTCTGATTTCGAATTTCGTGCTAGTTTTGATCAAAGACGATGTATCCGTGCATTTTGGGTAGGTGGGGTCAGGTCAGCTCAACCATTAGGCGTCACCGCCGACATCCAAATGGGTGTTTACCGCCACCAACAGCTTAGTTGCACATAAAGATGTGATGTGGACTGTGGAGTTTGTTAATGCAATAAGTGAATGAGAACTTCACTCCACAAGAAATCGTTCGGGTCGGAGCTTTCAAATTGTATTTACAAAACTTCGTCAGCGAGTCGTAATCGGGTTCAGGGGGTATCGGTCGCAAAATATGTAGCATAGACACTAAAACTATTTCTTACAATGCACAATGGGACCGGAGCGAGAACTAGCGCGACATCGGTACTTTTTCGTGTTTCGTGCCCTCTTTTCACATGAAAGGGATGACAGAATCATACAAATGGTAGTCAGTGTACTTTCGAAGCAATTCCTGATACATTTAATTAAATAATCATTAGTCATTTAATTAATTAATTAATTAACTAATCAGTTGACCTGCGTTGACCTTGACTCGGTTCGGTCATGTGATAAGATGTCATCACCTGCCGGATCAAGTCATGACGGAACCGGAAATTCCCATAAGCAAATAATGTAGCCACCAAAACCATGATGGGAATCTGATAGCCTGATGGACTATATAACAAATAAAGTGAGGGTCAGAAAAGTGTATCAGACACTCCGATAGCAGGTACGGATATTTCCGGACAAAACTTAAATATAGTTGGCACTTGGTAGCCTTGTTCGACTCCTAGGAGGATCTGTCGATCTGTTACTCTCAGCTTCCGGCCGGCTCGTGGTAACCGCGCACGGCCAGCGCCGGCGACCTGAAGTAAAAACAAAAATGCCCCTCATTTTCGATATAGCAGGCTGAAGCAGCTAAATTATACATTTTCTGAAAGGCAATTGATCGGTAAAGACCATATTGATAAAAGAAGAGCGCGACCTAGCGGGACGTTTCATATCGGCATTCTAGAATGTTTATAACAGTAAAATTAACTCACAATTTTAAAAGCACCTACAAACTTAACATTTGAAGCGTATTTATATATTCCGTTATAAGTTTTTCTTTCCATCGTGAAGCCCATGGTCTAAACATTTCTTGTTTCAAGGTCTAAAGGTTAGACCCCGAAAATATTGATAAAGCCGTCTAATATACATTTTTTCTTACCTACATTAGCTGCTACTTTTCTCCGTACGAAAACGGGTCTACGATGCTTGTCACAGAACTTTGTATTTGGGCTGATGTGGTGCTGACGCTATACACCATGGACGAAAAATATTTGCAGATTCGTGGTCCATGGAATTGGACATTTCTGAGCTACGTGGAACAGTCTAACTCAGTTCGGGAAAGGGCGGCAAATCCACCAATGTCGCGCTTATTCCGGCCGCGGTCCCATCGTGCAATGGCCCGTCTTTTTTAAGTTCAACCCTCACTGTAAACATCCTGTTGAACACATTTACAATGTTTGCTAGGTTAACCACTCAAAAACTGGTTGGTTCACATATGATTTAACCCTCGCCCGTATTGGTGTTTTGCCAGCGTCTAACGTATCGTGCGTTGTTACTAACGTCACGATTTATATTTGACCTGAGGTCAAATCTAACAACAACACTCGGAAAGGCCTTTGAAAGAGCTGTTGAATGCGCTTTTCTGTGGCGCTGTAGCTCTATTGGTTCCCGAGTTATGCGTTGAGTGTTTGGGAAAATGTTGAAATAGGCAACATTTTACCTTTGATGACCTCTGGTGACGTGACCTTTGACCCAGGAGCCGAGTTAGACGGGGACGTGAAAACGCCTCCCCCCAGCACGACACGGAAAACTTAGGCCACCAGCACGACGCGGGTTAAGTTCGACCCTCGATGTAAACAACACAGCACGATATTTGCTAGCTGAATTACTGAGAAAACTGGTTAGCGCACATTGTATTGAAGATATTTATATTTTCCAAATGTGTTTTAACCCGCGCGGGGCTGGGGGGGGTAAATTTTACCCCCCCTCGCGAATTTTTGCAATATCTCAGAAACGGCGGCGCGCAGCGCCGCCAAACCTTCAGTACCTTTTTTTACATCAATTTGACACGTTCCCTGAAAATTTGAGCGAAATCCGTCGGAAAATTTTTGAGAAATTGACGTTTTAGTGACGTCATGTTCGCCTTTTTTGCCTCAAAAACGGCAAAATTTCAAACGCCGCTAACATCTTCATTGTTAAAGGAATCAAGACGTAACAAAAAAGTTTATACGTAATTCTACTTCGTCTATCAAATGGCTATCTCGGTGTTTTGAAAACTTTGGATTTTGGCCCAAATTTTTCCAAAAAACTGACTTTTTGGGGAAAATAATTATAAAATCCAAAATTTTGAGTGTATCGAAAAAACCGGAATATATGTCAAAGAAGTGGTCTATGTGCACCTACATACCAATTTCTAGAAGAATCAGTTCAAAATGTGGGAGTTATTAAACATTTTATGACGTCACGACACACAAAAAAATTTGAAAAAATGATTTTTTTTTGGAAGTTCTAGACCTCGTACGGAAACAAAAATAGCACCATTCGATTCGCCGTGAAAAACTGCATGAGATAGACACCTTTTTAGGCCTTAACAACCAACTTCAAAATTTGACCTCACTTGACCTGATCTTGACCTGACCTCGACCTGAAATTCATCCAGAGGTGGTCCATATCACTTATTGAGTGTGCCTATTGAATTCTATGAGTAAAATGACCAATAAAACATGTGTCGCACATGCCCTTTTCTATATTTTGTTTTTGGTGACCTGACCTGACCTGACCTGACATTGACCTTGACCTCTGAATGATATTGTATGCAACGAATATTGTCTTGGTAGCCTAAGAACACGTCTTGGGCAATCAGTCTCAGTCCATGACTCCATTCTTCGGCAACTACGGTGCAAGGCCGATATTGTAGGAACTTGCAATTTGTACCCTTGACCTGACCTTGACCTTGACCTCAAACTTTAAATTAAGTACATGTTTTTAGTTGTTCGTGATGAGATCTTTCGATTTGCGTTTAAATCTTCCAAATCGGACCATTAGTTCGGGAGATAACAGGAGGGTAAAATTTACCCCCCCCCCCCAGCGCCGCGCGTTCGGCTGGAGACCCCAGCTCCGCGCGGGTTAACCCGCGCCCCGCTGGGGGTCCTGGATTTCCACGCCCCGCTGGGGGGGGGGGGTGTGTTTGAACACCCACTTCTAACTCGACTCCTGGGCCACGTAGCCATTCGCGGAAGGCGGCGTTCGAAAGAGCGCCAAAAATAATAACGAAATCACTTCGGTCACTTTTTTGGTTAGGCTAAAGGTCAGGTCACCAGTGGTCAAAGGCAAAATTTCCCCGATTTTCAGGTCAAATGTCGACAGTTTCCAAGAAGCCAACGCATAACTCGGGAACCGATATAGCTACAGCGCCGCGGAAAAGCGACTTCGATAGCCCTATTAACGCCCTTTCTGAATAATTCTCTCAGATTTGACCTAGCGCCAACGGTTTTGCCTGCAGGGGGCAAAAACTGCCAAAATAACCGATTTTTTGGAAAGTGTTTCTGCAATAACTTTTGACTCAAGCCTTGCACGAGCTTACTTTTATCAACATGACCTGACCGGAAAGGGTCATGTTGCACATCAGTCGATCCGTATCGTCGAGCTGAACACATCCAAGGCGTTTTCATCGGTCTAGCATGCCTCTATCAAAAGGTATTCGCGAAAAACTGTTAGATACTATTCGTGGCCTGAGATGACCTCAGGGGCATAAACAGGGGTCTCAGATACTATTTTCATGTTCAATGTGTCTTAGTTTCTTGTAATTCAGTGTTTGGGAGTGTTTATAATGGTTTGGTCCAAAAGAGGCGCCTTTCAATTTTCTCCCATTGACTTATAATGGGGAGGTCGCAAAATTGACCTGACCTTTGGTCATCGATATCAAAACTCTGAGATGAGTTTATCTCAGTATAGTTTACAGCGCGGAGCGCCGCCGTTTTTGGCACACCTTATAATACATCAATTCTACAGATGTTTTAAAAATTTCAGACCAAGGTCATTTAAGGTCAGGTCACCAGGTCACTTGAAGTGACCTCACCTCATGCAAAGTTTCAATGTCCGCCATAGCTACACCAAGTGACCGATCGCTTCGAAAGTTTCAACGATTGCTAAGAGCAATAGTATGTACAAAATGTATTATAAGGTGTGCCAAAAACGGCGGCGCTCCGCGCTGCCGTTTTTGAGATATTTGTGAAAAAACACAGGGGGCTGTGTGTGTTCAAACAGCCCAGCCCCCCTTCTCACTCGGCTCCTGGGCCACGTAGCGACACGCCGTAGGCGGCGTTCGAAAGAGCGGCAGAAGTAATGAAGAAATTATATCGGCCACATTTTAGGTCAGCTCAAAGGTCAGGTCAACAGAGGTCACCAAAGGTAAAATTTCGCCACTTTCTAGGTCAAACTTCGATAATTTCGACAAACCGGCGCATAGATTAGGAACGGTTTAACGTGCAGGGGCCAAAAACTGCCAGAATAGGTAGATCGGTTTTTGCGGGAACTGTTTTTCTGCAATACCTTTTGACTCAAAACATGCACGAGCTTACTTTCAGCAGCATCGTGTTCCTCTCGTCAAGGCGACGCATCGAAAGAACTATAAGTTGACCTCAAAAGTTCAACTTGAAAAATTTACTTTAGGTCAAGGTCATGACCTCATGACAAGGTCATGGCCTCAGGTCAATGTCATGACCTGACCAGAAAAGGTCATGCTGCATCAGTCGATCCGTATTGTCGAGCCAAACACATACATATAAGGTTTTTCATCGCTCTAGCATGTCTCTGTCAAAAGTTATTTGCGAAAAACTGTAGGATACCATTCGTGACCTGACATGACCTCAGGGACATAAAGAGGGGTCACGGGTACCATTTTCCGGTTCAGTTTGTCATGTCTACTTGTAATTCGATGTTTGAAAGTGATTAGAATGACGTTCGGCCAAAAGAGGCGCCTTTCAATTTTCTCCCATTGACTTATAATGGAGAGGTCGCAAAATTGAACTGACCCTAGGTCATCGATATCGAAGTTCCGAGAGATACATTTTGTGTATCATTATTATAATTATTGTATACATTATGTGTATTGTGTATACTGTTGTTTTATCAGTTGCTCAAAGTTTCAAAGTGATCAGTCACTCGGTGTAGCTGTGACAGGCATTGAAACTTTTCATGCAGTAAGGTCACTTGACGTGATATGGTGACCTGACCTTGGATGACTTTGGTCTGAAGTTTTCACAGAAGGTGTAGAAAAGATGTATGATAAGATGTGCAAAACACGGCGGCACTCTGAGCCGCCGTTTTTTAGATATTCGCGAGAAACCGGAGGGGTTGTTTAAACAGTCCCCCCCGCAGTGCGTGGGTAGGGGTATGTGATCAAGGATGAAGGTGTTACATACCTATGCACGTTTGCATCATTTACCTACATATGCACGCCCGCCAATATAATAGATTTCTCACGGTCTTGATGCTCGCTTCTCCTCGTCGCCTGCTCGGCACCGGTCCACGCGGCACCCGCAGCGTCGATAGTCGGCCGGTGCAGCGTTCAGAGGTATCGTGTTCCCGCCTGCTCGGAACCATTCCCCTCGGCACCCTCCGACCGCCCGCAGCGTCGATAGCCGGCCGGTGAAGCGTCCAGAGGTATCGTGTTTCTAAGGGACTTAGTGGCATTCCACTCTACTTCCTGGTGGCTTCCAAAAAACCACTGCCACAGCACCATTACCCCATCTGGTGGCTGACATGGTAAATACCAATTCACCCGGCGTTAACCAGAGGCATTTTGTACCTTCCGATTTTAGACGATGCGATTTTGTATGATACGATCATCTCGTTTTGTAGGTTGCAATTTTGTATGATACGCGTTTGTTTGATCTGCCATTGTACGTTCCAATTTTGTACGTTCTGATCATTGTTTGATTTGCCATTGTACGCTTTACCCATTGGACGGTAAACTTTTGTACGTTGGGATTTTGTACGCTGCGCTTTTGTACGTTTGGGCTGTCCCCTACCTGGCCTGTTTTGTAGGTTTTGCGCGTTGTATGTTGCGATTTTGTATGTTTTGAGGATTGTACGCTGCGCTTTTGTATGCTTTGATAGCCACCCGGTAGAGTCTGCACACACCGGAACCTCGGGATATTTCAGCAGGGTGAAGTAAACTATTAGGTGATGGGAAGATAAATACTACGGGGCGGCGCGTGTGTGTCTCTGATTTCAAGCATGTAATACGATTACCTATATTTAGGGCGCAGACTATTATTCATGCGAGTCTTCAATAAAAGTATGCAGATGGGAAGGTTGTGTTTTTCATGCACCTGAATGTTTTCAAACATTGTGATAAAGTGCCAGGTTTCTCTTGCCTTTCTTGTCAGATTCAAAGGCAAATGCAAAAAAATAACCCACGGAAAATCATAAACTTTAACATCAACTTTACTAGAATAAATAAAATGAGTTTGTAAACACACCCTGCAGAGATCAACCAGTATCCCAGATGTTGTCTTTCAAGATACAAAGCATGGTATGGTTACAAGAGCCAGTCACCAACACGTTGCACATGCCCATTAAAATATTTTCCTGCGAAGTGTACCGCAGTGATTAATGTGTACGGTTGGACGGTTCTGATATTGTTGACGAAGATATTTTACAATGCCTACCTTTTGCTGCCACACCGATGTTCATATTAAAATAGCTTATCATCTAACTTTTAAGAGAAATTGTCTGATGTCAGCTAAAATGGACAGATGTAACGGTAAAAAATGCAATCAAATACGTAGGTATCTCACCAATTACGAATGCCGTTGATTTATCAATTACGGTAAACGTTACGCACGCAATCCCTCACTCATATGTATAATGCCATAAGACGATTGAATAGAAAATCCTTACGGACAAGGTCAAATTGCATAAGCATGCCATTGTCATCTGTGGTAGTTATCTGTAGCCATTAGTTAGCATCAAGTTAACATAGGTAACCCACTCAACCCAGCACATTGGTGAAAATGTAGCAGGTAAAAAAAATGTTTGACGCATTGAAGTTGCGGAATCGCCACAGCCGGGCCCGAATGAAACGGACTTCTGCTTCAGATGGCGCCTTACACCTACGCCACGTCGACCGTTAACCCATTCTTCAATACAGCAACGAAGCAGCATCAGCAATCCATTTCAGCGGTGTTTAATGCGGCGTGTATTAGTTCAATGTGGCGCACAGCGCGCACATCTGTCCCCAGCGGTGTGCCGGTATAAAGTCTGTCCCCGGCCGCTGTACATCACTTCCCACTGCGATTCTGCAAGCGGTCCAGCATGTTGTTGATATCTGTGGGATGTCTTCTGGTGGCCGGTGCCTTAGCCGGCACGGCGCATCGGGTGGATGACCAGCTAATTGACGTGCAAGAACTCCACCAAGAAGGCGAAAAGCTTCGCCCAGAAGCTCGGAAGCTTCACCAAGCTCAGGAGCTGATCCTGGGAGAAGGGAAGCTAAGTCCAAGGGCTAAAGAGCTGCAACAAGTTCAGGAGCTGCACATGGAAACTTCGATGCAGGAGCCAAGGAACGACACCGGCCCAACCCCACTCCCAGCTCGAGACGAACGGATTTTGTACGTTCTGGCACCAGGTCTGTATTACATCACCTCGCCACGTTACCCTTACCTGTACCCCAACTTCGTCGACAAACGATGGCATCTCTTCGGAGCTCAAGGCCAGACCATCACCATCGGCTGCAGCGACTTTGACGTCGAGTACCACCACTACTGCCGCTACGACTTCCTGCGCATCAACGGGGTGAAGTACTGCGGCAGCGACGTGGTGGAGGATGTCACCAGTCCGGAGCTGAGGATCCGGTTTTCCACCGATTACAGCGTACGTAGGCGAGGGTTCTACTGTCTGATTACCGTGCCGTCAGTCGGTGGGACCACGGGAACCACCGCTGGCACCACTGAAACTACGACTGACACCACTACCGACACCACTACCGACACCACCACAGACACCACCACTGACACCACTACCGACACCACTACCGACACCACCACTGAAACCACTGCCAGCACCACAGACTCGCCCGCTGGTGACGAGTGCTGCGGTATAGCCAACAGCAACGGAGTTAGGATCGTAGGGGGCGCAGAAACTGAGGTCAACGAATTTCCCTGGCAGGCGGCGCTGGTGTCCTTCGGCGGAAACATGCCCTTTTGCGGAGGAACCATCATCAATACACAGTGGATTCTCTCCGCGGCTCACTGCACGGCCGGAGAGACCACAGCCTCAATTCAGGTGCTGCTAAGGAAGCATCAAACCAACATCGATGTTGATCAACTCCGCATCAACGTGGTACAGATCATACAACATCCATCCTACGACGCTGCGACGTACAGCTTCGACTTCTCCCTTCTTCGACTCCTCATCCCCCTCGACTTCAGCACGTTGGAGAACAGGGTCGCGCCTGCTTGTCTACCTGCCGGAGGCGACTTCGTAGACGTGTCAGCTTTGACAAGCGGATGGGGAACGACGTCGTCCGGAGGCTCGGAGCCTAACGCTCTTCATGCTGTTACGGTAGATACCATGTCCAACGCTGAATGCACCGCTGATCTGGGAGAAGGTCTGGTGGATGACTCGATGATCTGTGCGGATGTGGATGAGGGTGGTAGGGATGCCTGCCAAGGTGACAGCGGCGGCCCGCTGGTGACCGAGGTGGGTGGGAGATATACGCTGATCGGTGTGGTGTCGTGGGGTTTCGGCTGCGCTGATCAGGGTCAGCCGGGCGTCTACGGACGGGTCACTGCTGTGTCTGATTGGATATCAGAGAATACGGCTGGAACCAGCCTCTGCTAAGGCATGGACTGCTAGTCCTAACCACAGCGAGCTCATCTCTGCTGAGTCCTGACCAAGGCTGATGCTAATGTCTGCTGATTACTGGCAACAGCTATCTCATTTCTGACCCAGACTGAACTTAAGACCTGGAGATACGGAATGCTACCTTGTCGGTGGTGGTGATCCTGCATTTTGACCGCGACCTACAATGCTCTAAAGGTGGTAGGTATATGCTGTGTTTTCTACACTGTCCGATGAATTCTAATGTAACTTTCTATCGGTGTTTTGACAAGCAACGCCAGTTTTGTTGGTTTAACTTAACCTCTGGTGTCTTATCTATCATGTATCGGCGGTGAAAATAAATGTTATTTCTCTGCTTTGATGTGTCATTGCTTCTGGTAGTTACAAATACGCGAAAGCCGAACAGCGGCATCGTTATTCAATGTATAATTTAGTAACGGCTTAACACACTCAGGTTATTGATACGATTTAATAAAAAGCAGTGGTGGGCACTTCAATAATTCCCATCGATAACGATTATCGAAGTCTAGTTTATCGTTATTAATTATCGTTATCGAAGTAGCGTTATCGAAGTCCCCGTTTCGGTCAATCGATAACGATAACTTCATCAAATAGACGCGAGCGTATTAAAGGGAATAGTTCACCTTCAACATGAGGTTTTGAACCGAGATAGCAGTTTTGTAGATTGAACACTGAAAAATGCTATTTGGAATGCCTTTCGGTCCAACAAGCTCTGTCGCCAAAGACATTCAAGTTTTTGTTTGCACGTTTGTTTGTTTGTTTGTACGAGAAAAAATAACATTTTCACTGTTCTAAGCCCTCCTTTTTGTGTAAGCAGCTGGGTAATAATGGTGTTGTATGAGCGAATTGGTTAAATATTCATTAGAAGCTTATTCCTTTCAAATATTTTATCCTTTAGATTTCTTTCTTTTTTGACCGATAACCAAATCGTTATCGAAGTCGCTGACCTCGAAAGAGGTTATCGAATTATCGTTATCGAAGTCCCGGTCAAGTTACCAGTGCCCACCACTGATAAAAAGCGAATCAGTTTAATAATTCCCTCTCACACCTGCCTCCCACCATTCTCCGATGCATCAACACCACACTAACACTGTCCGCACCGCACTTTACTTCTGTTCGCACCGCACTTTACCGGGACGATTCCGCCCCTTATCGGCCTGCCATCTCTCCCCCGTCCGTCTCTGTCATGTTCCCAGGCAGCTGGCCTGACCCGGATGGCCACTACGCAGACAGGTCCGACAGATAATATCCCGATGATAATCTGATCTGTCAGGGGACTCAGAGAACGCCTGCTTTTTAGAAGGAAGGAATATTCGGTGGAGGGACAGATACTGCAAAAACATGCTGACATGCTAATCGTTTTTGGTTGCTAACTGACTATATTAGGGTGGGTATAGGTCACTGATGAGTTCAACTGGTGACGTTTGAATGATTGAAATGTTCTAGGGTATGTGCTGAAGCGCATTGCGTTGAAGTTGTACCGAAACGAGGTTGGAACCGCTTGGCCAGTGACCTTTATATCAGAAATTAGCTCTACTTAAACTTTACATAACATCCTCAGCACCTAAATTTTAATTTAATCGTTTGGTCAAATTTTTTAGCGATACAACAAAGATATTCCGCCTGCTTCCGAACGCGGTCGCGGCTGGTCGCGTGCCGCATTCCCCTCCAGCGCCCAACCTAGATCCCTGCTGACCCAGAGAGGACCACCTCTGCGTGCTACCGATATGAGCTATCCCCGACATCTCACGTCAGCCCCAGGCGGCAGAGGAGTCTGCTCCGATAGTCGATACACGCGCAGGGAGGAGCGTGGGAGCGGTCTGAGACGCTCGGGCAGGTGTGTTAGACAGAGTGAAATGTGAGAAGGGCACCGCCCGACGACCTGGGCGGATCGAGCCGTCATAGCGCACATAGTTGGGTCAGCTGAGGGCTGCTCAGTCAGTCAGTATGTCACCGGGATATGACAGGGCCAGTTCGAGAGTACAGGGAGGGAGAGAGAGAGAGAGAGAGAGAGAGAGAGAGAGAGAGAGAGAGAGAGAGAGAGAGAGAGAGAGAGAGAGAGAGAGAGAGAGAGAGAGAGAGAGAGAGAGAGAGAGAGAGAGAGAGAGAGAGAGAGAGAGATGAGAGGATGCTACGGCCGGATGAACCGAAAAGAAGAGGGAACGGAACGAGCGTGGAGGGCGATGAACGTTCCTCACTTCCTACCTAATCACAGAGACAAGGCCATTCGAAAAAAATCAAGATAATTTATGAATACGTTGTGTTTAGTAAAAACCCTTCATTGCAAAACATTCTTAATGTGGAGAAATTGCAACTGCTAGCCGATGCCATTGCCACATGGGCCTGAAAAGGCAGAATATCTAATGTCCAGCGTCTTGCCATGGAGACTGCAACGCAGCACAAGCGACTATCTCGAACTGCTCTCGAGCGCCGATAACGAGGACCGAGTCAGGTAATGTGTGTGGAAGAGCTGAGATATTTGTCACAGAGACTTGCCCATCGTTCATGACCGGAGGTTGCGTGAGCGAAATGGTCACTGTACTCTTGACAATCAGCGGTTATCTGCTGGTGGTTCGTGCTCATCTGTCTTGAAATGAGTTTCGATCTCTGATCTCATATGGGATAGTAGCTGGTCGTGAGGACGACAGAGCTGATTAGTTCGTCTACATAAGACCCTGAAGGAAATGGGCAACATATTGCTGATCATCTTCTGAAATGGTGCTCAGTTAGGACAACATTGGAGACCAATTTGGTGCTTTCTTGAAGCTGAACTAGCACTGTTTTGACACCGATTTGATACTAAGACCTTGCTAACTATTCTGGTACTGATCTGGAGCGGCTATGGGCTAATTTGCCTCTTATAGTCACTCAATGGTCATTTCAGCGATAATCAGTTGGCTGTCACTAATCTGTCCCATGTTTATCTTCCGATTCACTGATAATGAGTGAAGTCATGCTACCGTTGCGTGTCGGAACGTCACAACAATGCCCCGAGTGAGTGTGTCGGATAACCGTCCCACAGTCACATCAGCGACCAGGCTCGAGATACGAGCGGAAGGGAATTGGGGGAGATGACATAACCTCGATCTTTGGGTTATTCGGCGTCTGTTTGGCTCAGAAAGGTCCACATTTGAGCTCCTGTTTCACTATTTACGCGGTGCGGGCTTTGGAGAGGGATGGAGGGACGGAGGGGGGGGGGGAAGGGTTAAAGGATGTTTGGCTTAGAGTAAGTAGACTCTCATGCTCCGCTTCAGGTAGCCGAGACACTGATTGTATCTATTAGGGAAACAAGGGATTAGGCTCCGTGCTCCAATTCTGAAGAAGATGTCAATCAAGGGGGAGAAGTGCCTCACACATTAGCGACAATTTCGAACCCACAGAACGGGTGGCAAATCTGCAGCTGAGGCTCTCTAGAGCTCCGGAAGGGACTACCGCCTGAAGCTGACGTGAAGCTCCATAGACTCGCACGTTTTTGGCACTTGCCTGGCCATCAAACTCATGAGATGACATATTCATGAAAGCGGCAGTCACAACTTTCAACCAATGCTGTCAATGTTTAACCGATAAGCTGTCGCCACGACGTTTCAGCTGCCAGCTCCCCGAGACACACGAGTGTTGACTGAGCCACTGTCACTTCTTTGCAGGACAGCTGTCATCGTGCAGTCAATGCCGGTGGGCCACTGACGGCTGTCTGTGTTTATACAGCTAGCGTCTGTCCTGTCTGCCTGTCTGTCTGTCTGTCTGTCTGTCTGTCTGTCTGCTTGTCTGTGAGACAGTGAGTGGCGGTGACGAGGATATTGACGGGATGGCGATAGCAACGGGAAAATGACGGGATATGAGACAAGACGGTGACGATGACGGTAACAACAAAGGAAAGGAAGGATAATATGTGGCCGAAAATAGTCAGGAGGGGAACAGAACAGGAACATGATAGTGACGGGACGGGAACGGGATACGAAACGATAACTGAGTGAGGGCAACGGGACAGGAAAATGATGAGCATAGACAGTTGCCGTGTAACAGTTTAACGGTGCAACTTCTGCTATCATTGGAATCACCATGAGTTTAATTTATAAGAATAAACAGGTCAAGTGTGACTCTGAATATCTTTTTTCAGAAATGATCGCAGTAAGACTAAATCATGCGAAATCATTAGAGCCCTCGGGTCGAGGGTCTCAGTTGCACACAATCAAAGTGTACGTCTAAAAGTATACGTAATAGCACAATCACGAATAAGGCAATCATCGATTGGACCACACCGACACACACTCTCCGCTCATCAATCGGACTTCCTTCAACAAACTGGAGACTTTCCAACGAGGCCACCGTCTTCAATCCTGCCCTCATCGCATGCCCACTCTTTTTCCGAGCCGAGATACGTGCTTTTTCAGAGCGTTTACGCTCGAACGATTCGCACGCGTGACGGCTTAGCCTGTGCCAGCACGCGCGCGAGCCACGCACGCCCGTGAGCCGATAGCCTGTACAGATTGTTTTGTGAATGGGGGACGCGTGTGCCACATAACATGACAGTCACATAGACGAGCGCCGAAAGGCCCTGATGTTAGAAGGGTCGTTGAAGTTAGAAATAAGATAAGAGAGAGACAGCACGGTATGACATTCCCAGGTGCCGATAGGTCATGCCATTATCGAATTATTAAAAAAAGCCCAGCCCTATGTAAACACGTACCTACTCGTATGTTTGTGTGGATGTCAAATGGATAACATCCCCAGCAAATAATAACAAAACATGAGACACGCCTAAAGCTGGCTCATTCTTAACAGTAAAAACGACACGGATAGCGTCCAATGCCATTATTCATGCGCTAGGCTTACCCAAGGCCGGCTTACCTATCAAAATAAGCCGACCGATCTACTCAGCCAAGGCGTTGAGCCTCGTCCGTGTTTTGGATGCTCGGTAAAATGGCTGTTTGCCTTTTCTCATATGCTATGCAGCCCAATTAAAAATAGGTACATATGGATAATTTCGTTCCATAACCAGCTCGAGATCCATTCAAAATTTCACCTGAAATAAACGGCAATACCAAAACAAAAGAAGTAACGTTTAATGGCCGTTCAATGGCCAAACGAATTGTTACGATCGGCGATCGCCCTAAGACGATCAAGAAACGCAGCTACCTAATTAATAAAAAGAAAATGCCTACGGCCCTACAAAAAGGGTGAACTGAACCACGGTGAACTACAAACCGTTTCGCTTCCGCTGCTTAATTCAATGAGAAATCCGCTCGTAAAGCACGTTTACTGTTTCATGAATACGGAGACACACAAACCGAGTTTTTAGTTTCTCAAATCATTCATGATTGTCTCTGTCAAAGGGAACATGCATATTAAAGATAAAAAATTCATTGAATACGGCGACAACGTTTAAATGGTACGATCATTGGATAGTCACCACTCGTGATCGACCAAAGAACGGACAAGACGACTCAGGTCATAAACGCCTCGGACAAATAGAGATTTAGAGCCGATTCTGGCTGAAATGGCTCACACTTCTCTTCTTATCCCTCAAGAGCACCAATTCCCATTTCAATGGGAATGGCGAACAGAGTAGGTACGCCATTCCCATTGCAAGGCACATACATGACCTCAGAGTTACCTAGGGTTCTACTCACCACTAGAAGCAGTAGAAGCCTCTCTTTTCTCCCCATGACGTCCCTGACAGCTCCACCCCCGACCGTGCACTGCCGGTTCCCCGCCGCGACACCACTGGCCCGCTGACCCACAAATTCGGCCCATCTCTGCCCCCGGGCTACCGCCACCCCCTCCACTACCGTCCGGCACACTCAAAGGAACCTACTCCAGGCTGCCGACCGACGGATCAGCTCGCCGCTTCCTGATTGGTCGTCGCTCATGACACTGCGCTGGCTCGACCAATCAGCACGCAGGAAGCGACCGGCTCTTTCGCCCTCAATTCTCCCGACAAATTCTCCGTCTGAATCTGGTCACCCCGTGATGAGAAATGATTGACAGGGTGTGATATCGTCAGGAGAGCTACTATCGGAGAGCAATCGCTGCCGTCAGGACGTGAAGGACCAAAACAGACGGTCCCGGGCCGGCCCCCAGACCGCCGACTGGCGCCGGCAGGGCCGCGATGTCGGGGTGGGAGATTAGTAATTCGATCCCGGACGGTCACGCACATCCTGGTTGGTGCGGAGCAGAGCAGGGCCGCAGGGGTGAAGCAGCAGGGTTGATAGGGTCCCGGGCTGAGCGCTGGTCAGTGGAAGGAGAACGGAAACCGTCTCGTGGTTGGACCGTGGACGAGCTCGGTACGCTTATTTAGACTACCGTGACAATTGTCGATTTAAAATGACATTGTCCTCTCCTCTCCTCCGGCAGTCCAGCCATGGCAGACCCTCAGCTCACTGATCACAAATCGGCTTCATGTAAAGCGATAATGACCTTTTAACGCCATTACGGAACCGGGTCGATGAAAGAGCAGTCGACCATAGGCGAATATAACATCAGTACCTAATCGACGTCTATATCGATTTACTAAAATCATACGCGTCGCTAAAAGTCCCACAAAACGTGTGCCCACTGCCCTGATTGGAAAGCGGACGCGCTCATAACTCTGAATCGCCGACCCAACGGCCGGTATTTCTCAGCGCCCATGAGCCGGTGTCGACCACACATTAGTATTCCACCGGTATGGCACAGAATGTACAGAATGTCCCAGCCACGCACCGACAGGCACGTCCGAAAATAGTCGGAATAATGACCGCGTTCGGTCATCATTACAGCGCAACAAAAAAGGTGAGGCGGTATATGGGAAAGTTCGGTGAAGCGGATGGCTTCATTCTTTCACCACGTACAGTCTGTCTTAAAAGTACCGCGCAGTGACGGTGGATTCATCGGAAGGGCCCGCTATAATTTGAAAGTCACAGATCCGATTGACCTCGGGAATGGACGAGGATGTCAATTGCTTCGGTGACTCAAATTTAGCAGGCCCTTCCTCGGTCAGGCTTGATGAATCCACCGTTACTTTGCGCGGTACTTTTAAGACAGACTGTACAATGTGTACATACAGTTCGGTTTAAGTTCGACGTAAAGGAGTTGAGTGTATCAGTCCAAAAAGACCGATTGCCGAACACTTTCAACTTCGTAAACGCATATCAAAAGTCCAAACCAAAACTCGGGGCAACCGTTGTGTCCCACACCTGACACCGCACTGATCAGGAAGGGTTTAATTTCGGGCACCGAGGCCACAGGCCTTCAGTGGCCCTCCGGCAGTACCGCAGAGGGTCGTCAATCTTTTGCATTCGGTAGATACTATATGTAGACAAATTATTGCTCGTACTATCACATGATTTTTTCCGGGCTTCCGGCAATCGAAGCATAATTCTCTACTGCTGATAATTTTGCGGCTTCACCACATTCTCACATAAATAAATATACCGATTGAGAAGAACTCCCATCACCAACGCCCGGTCTGATATCCGGCAACTGGCAAGGTGAAATTGAGTCAGCTCTGAATTTTATCCGTGGAGTGTAAAGTCGAGCAATTTTCGAACGCTCTGTCGGCTCTTTTGATGCATATATTGTTAGCTGCTGACTTTTTAGACTGATGGGCGAATCCAGTGATTGAATGGACGAGACGTTAAGTGCCGTCTGTAACCATTCCTCTGTACCATTTCTGAGACCATTTCACTGCACCCCGTCCCCACAAACAGCGTCATCAAACGTCTGTATCCGCGCCGTGTATTAACTGACTAACTGGCTAACTGTTAAAACGGAGACCGGCGGCCGCACATATTATGCTCTGGGCGGACGCGGCCAAACGTGGCGGCGGCCGGGCAAACGGAAATAGAAACACAGGGCGGGTGACGGCGCCCGCCGCGCGCCCGCACAAACACAGAGACAAACAGCTGCCGCACAAACACCGGGCAGCTGCGCACTCAAACAAACACCGATTAAACGCTTCTCTCATCGCCGAATCCGACCTTCACGCATTCTGTTTTTGCTCTTACATAAAAATACATCGGTCATTTGCTGCTTTTCCATCATGCCAAAAATTCTCACTCATTCAGCTGCAGCTCTTACATATTAGTGTTCCCTCTCACAACCTCTCACTTCTCAACTGTCTCTCACTCGCCCCAATCAGCTGCTGCGCTCTCAAAGTCAGACGCTTCCATATGGTCACTTCTTGGCTGCCCTGGTGACGTCATAATCAGCTGCTGCTCGAATGACGTCACAAAACCATCATTTATGACGTCATAAACATGAACTTATCAGCTGTACAATCCAATATTCCGTCACACTTTTCAGCTGCTTTGGAGAAGCGTCTCTCATTCGCAAATGCATTGCCCAAAGCTGCTGTCTGCCGTTTTCGGTCCAGCCGGAGCGATATTTTTCACCGCAAGCCCCGCCCCTCAGCACACACAGCACACACACACACACATACATCGATGACGTCATCGAATCACTGTACACATCTATGACGTCACAAGCCCGCGTCCGTTTCACACGGCACAAGTTACAGCGAACACAAGCATCGCATCGCGTCCCACGGTGAAACCCAATCAACTCTTCGCCGCCCTTCTGATGACAATCATGACGTCACCGTAGGATGTGTGACGTCACACTGCCTGCCTGCCGGGCGACAGTGGCGCCGCCCTGGTGGTCTACAGGTCAGTTTCTGTTTCCTCGCAGTGCGCCAGAGGGGCCTCGGTGGCTCCGACACTGGCGCCATCCATACTGTTGTAATCACTCTGCAGGAGATAGAACGAGGTCAGGTCAGGTCAGGTCAGGTCAGGTCAGTTGGGTCAAAAAGGGAAATAGTTGGGATTCAGATGGTAGCGTCAAAGGAGCGGGGTCAATGCGACAGCGTCATCGGTTGTTGTATAAAAAAAAAAAAAAAAATGGGGTGGAGGTTAGTTCACAATGACGGGCTTGTTCTTTTTTGTGTTTATTATGCGATGTCTTTCGGTTGTATGCAGCCTGCGTCAGCGCGATGCCACTGCCATGTTAGGCTGGTAAGCTAGAGCACAGCTCCTCACTACAGCTCATGAGCCAGTCAGCTGGGTGTGTCGTATTATCGTCAGAAGCGCGACCCATCAGGCGGTACCCGGCCGCGCGCTGGTTAGCAGCCAGCTGGCGGAACTCGACAAAATTCTACACTATGTGATGATGATTTGGGGGTTTAGGTCGCCCGAACTGCAGTGGTCATCGTCGCCCATTTCTACACTATGTCTAGCAGCGCTCTCTATGTTCACATGACATCATAAACGATAGACCTTTGTACATAAGTAAACCACCATCCCTTAAAAGGGAGATGGAGCGCAAAACAAGTGGACTGACAACAAAAAAGTCCAGACCCGAGACCAGAGACGGCGTAGAACACGGATTGCAGAGTTAAAACCCAAGATGACACAGACTACAGACCAAAACGAAAGACGTAAGATCACAGGAACTAGCCGTTCTTAGGAGCGAGACAGTCCCTCCTGTCACACCTACCATGGATAATCAAGACGGCATATCCTACGTCAAATGACTGAGCGAAACACAATTGACTGCTGAATAACCACTAGAATGCCCAGTACGTCGAATTACAAGTGTGAAAGTGTCGTCTGCCTTCAACAGCTGGATATCGCGAGGCCGAAGACCACTTCCACAATTAATATGGAGAGGTATCAACCAAGTTGATACCGAGTTACGGAGGCAGTGAGCCGAAGTCGAATTAGCGATCAGTGGGCACATGATTAGATGTTCTCCCTGGGCACTGGGATGCGGCACTTCGGTGAAGCCCCGCAAAACATGCGACATGCAGAAGGTTGTAGGAAGGGTGCTTGAACAAATCGAGCAAGGAGACGGGCAGGATGGAACCGGTCTCAAAAGTTCACACAACCCCACACATTATAACTCGCACAAAACCTCCACATAAAGTCCAAACCCAACACAAATCTTCTAAAACGTCCCCAAAAGCTGCCACAAGACCGCCCCTTACTCCACTCTTTCAAAAGTCGGATACGACACTCTGAGGTCTATCAATGAGCATGGTAGGCCGGTAGGGTGAAGGAAACCGGGGGTCGGCCGATCACCTGGGTGAAGGAAACGTCATCAGGCAAGCCGGGCACCGTTAGCAATGCCTCCACCCGCCATCCGCTGGGCAGTAGCAAGTCTACCACCTAGCAGTCAGATTGAAGAGAGCACTGAGCGCGGAAAGAGAAAGAGAGCGCGTCCCTGCACCGGCTGCCTTAGGCGGGGGCGGGGGCGGGGGCGGCTGTACCTCTGAGGGCGCCAGGGTCACGGACGGTCCCGTGGTCAGCGCGCGCCGCTTGCCGCCCCCTGTGGACACCAGTCACGTCAGGGCCTGGGGTAGAGGTCAGAAAGAGGCACAGGTCAGGGCCGGGCGGGTAGAGGTCAGATGAGGTCACAGGTCAGGGCCGGGCCGGGTAGAGGTCAGATGAGGTCACGGGTCAGGGCCTGGGGTAGAGGTCAGATGAGGTCACAGGTCAGGGCCTGGGGTAGAGGTCAGATGGGGTCACATGTCAGGGCCTGGGGTAGAGGTCAGATAGGGTTAGAAGGGATCGGTAAGGGTCTGATAGGCTCACGACTCACGGAGGATAAAGGGACGCTCGGCCGAACAGGGGAGCTCCCTCTCTAGATAACGAATCGGGGGTGTTGGTACTTCAAACAGACAGTCCAAGGAAGGAAGACGACTGTAAAGACGGTGTACGACAGGCATGTGCAGAGCGCACTTGCTTACAGAAGAATAAGGACGTGCACAACGCTATGGCGAAATGTGGTTCATGCATGCATACA